ATTTTGGACATCTCCTTCCCTAGCTGGCTAAACAGTGGGCGCTTTCACAGCACTGGCACTGCCGCACATCTGAGGCATCCTCCAGCAGCCCTTATGCATGCATGACAGAGGGCTTAGAGCATCTTGCCTTAGTGTCATTAATTTCACAATGTCACCCCCAGGTTCACACTTCTGACCTGAGAGGCATTAGTAAAAGAATTAAGATCACCTATGAATAACCAAGATCACATATGAATAGCTAATAACTACTACAGTTATATTTCTAGTTACTTTCTTCTTCATTATTTATATGGAAATAGGCTGAGGCCTTTTGCTCCAGCCTTGGTGCTTATGGAATCTCCTCCCTACAGATGACTACATTATGTTCGGGAATCTGCCTGTTAAAAATGACCTGAGATATGCACGAGGCAACAGAGGACTCTCCTGAGGCAGGAGAGTAAGAAGTGTGATTGTACCAGATACTAAACATTTTATCCTCCTGCCTCTCATCTGCTAGAGATTCTAGCAGATCTCTGATCATCTTCTCCTCTAATCCTCACTGTTTCTTTTTTATTTTGCTTTATCACTTTGGAATTTGGAAAACAGGGAGAGCAAATAAAAGGAGAGACAAATAGAGAAAGAGGTGTTAGAGTGGTACCCAAGGCACTTTAACCTGATTTGGAAGTGGAGAGCACTGTCCAAAAAGTTGAGTGCAGCTTTAGGAAACCCCATTACTGGGAAAAGAAGAAGATAAAGAGTTGGCAACTCTTCCCATAAAGTCTCTTTCTCGGGGAAGTCTTCCTGATGAAGCGCTCCATTCTCAGGTCAGTTAGGACTTCATCAATCTTCCCATCCTATGGTGTGTACTTTATTTACCCTAAACACATTCACTTTGGTTACATGTTCCTTTTGTGGCCTCTTTCAGGTCACAGGCAGAGGCCCTCTTAGGTCAGATTATATACTCCTGAAGAGGTCGTAAGGGCTTATGCTCTGCAGGGAGATACTTAAGAGATATTCTATTTGCTGAACATTTGTGGAACAATGACCATGTGTGAAACATTGTACTTCATTATATAGGCATTCTGAGAGAAAGGTCTAACCTGGGACACTGAGGAGCTTGCAAATGAAGAATGGAGAATAAGAGAGATAGCTGCTTAACTTTAATACAAAGCAGAAATAAGTACATGAGAAAAGCACTAACCAAGGGTTCTGGGAATCTATCTATCTATCCATCCATCCATCTATCTGGAGATAGGGTCTCATTCTGTTGCCCAGATTGGAGTACAGTGGTGTGATCATAGCTCACTACAGCTTTGAACTCCTGGACTCAAATGATCTTACTACCTCAGCCTTCCAAATAGCTAGGACTATAGGTGCATGTCACCACACCTGGCTAATTTTTTTTTTTTTTTTTTTTTGCACCAATGAGGTCTCACTAAGTTCCCCAGGCTGGTCTCAAACTCCTGGCCTTAAACAGTCTTCCAGCCTTGGCCTCCCAAAGTGTTAGGATTGTAGGCTTGAGCCACTGTGCCTGGACTGGCACTGGGAATTTAAAGGAATGAGGAAGCACATCTGATGGGGGAGATCAGAAATAATACCAAGAAGGAAGATGCATTTGCAGTGCATCTTGAGTAAGTGAGCCAAGTCAGTGTCCAGAAAGCCTTGGCACATTTGTGGAATAGCGGTTTGGTTCTGATAGAGAAAAGAGTATGAGGTGATGGTGGGTACAGCAGCCAAGGCCATGAAGAGGAGATGGAGTCAAAACCAGGCCATTCGGTTGCTGGGGTACATGACAGGTACATATCTCTGGATTCCCCCCCTCCAAAATGTTGATTTTCTGTGAGCTTGTAGGATTTCCACTTTTTATTTCTCTTGAGCTTGTTACTTAGTTATTGAGAGGTCTTTCATTTTATTTTCCCACTGAATATATAATTTGTACTAAAAGAAGAAAAGACTAAAAACGAGGTTGAGTACTGAGCTTGAAGATCCTGAATTCATATGGGTGAGCCATGATCAGAGCTGTAACTAGGAGGATTTGTTTGCAGGGTTAATTTAGTGTGAGAGACGGAAAGGAACCCCTGCTTTGTCCAAGTGGGTGGTTTAGTGGCCTTAATCTATAGAATGTACAGTGATGGAGAAAGAAAGTGGAGTTGAAAATCTAAGGTAACACTCAGGTTTCAAGCCTAGGAAGTTGAGAGAATGGCAAGGCTGTGAATAGAAACACTGAATGAGTATAAGACTGATTTGAGATGGAGGATGGTGACTTTGCTTTGTGACATGTTCAATCACCGTAGATAGAGATTTGAAGGCCATTTGTAAACATGAACTTTGAAAATAGAAGTGTGTTTAGCACTAAAAAGAGAGAAGAAAAGGGCCAAGGACAGAAATCTGAGGAGCCTTCCTTTGGTGGCTTGTTGGGGGTTGGAGCAGCACAGTCAGAGAAGTGAAAGTGAACCAGGGGAGGGCAGTGGCACCGCAGCTCAGGGAGCCCAGAGCATCCAAGTGGTTTGGATACTGCCTGCAACATGGTGGGCTCTCAAGAAAGTCTTTTGAACTAAGCTGAGAGAGATGTAAGATGATGGAGATTTGGTGAATGAGTGATGTGGTGTCCCTACCGAGGGAAGCTTCAGCAGAGACGGGTCAGAAGCCATATGCAGAGGCTGTGGAACAAGGAACTGGTAAGGAAAGGGAGTTAGGGTGTGACTGTTTTTGGAAATGGTTTGATAGAGAAGGAAAGAGGACATGGGAGAGTAGCACTGCTTGGGAAGATTTCTTTTTAAGAAGTCAGGAAAAACCTGTGGCAGGGATGGATGGAAAGGAGAGACTGAGGATAACAGAAGCAACAGGACCCCAGGAGAGTGAGAGGCAATGGGATAGAGTCATACTCATTAACATACTCAGTTTGCAGAGGAGAGCAAGCCAGACTGAGGAAGAGAAGAACTTCTTCCATCTCTTCTCAGTAAAACCTGAAGTGAGGGCTGGGTACAGTGGTTCATACCTGTAATCCCAGTGCTTTGGGAGGCCGAGGCCAGAGGATCGCTTGTGCTTGGGAGTTTGAAACAAGCCAGGGCAACATGTAAGGAACTCGTCTCTGCTAAAAATCAAACAAATTTCCAGGGTGTGGTGGTGCACACTCGAGGTCTCAGCTATACAGGAAGATCACTTGAACCTGAGAGTTTGAGGCTACAATGAGTGGTGATCACACCACTGCACTCTAGCTTGGGCAACAGAGTGGGACTCTGTCTAAAAAAGAAAGGAAAAAAAAAAAAAAGAAAATTTAAAAACTGATGGAATGTCACCTGTTCTCAGCAGGAAGGAATGTAGATAAGGTTGTGGATTTGAAGACAGTGGGCAAGGATTAGAACAGCTCCTTTGGTGGAAGATGTGGGGACTGGGTCTGAGATCTAGAGGGCTGAGCAGCAGTAACCAGGCAGAAATGGGAGAAGACTAAGGCACGGTGCACTGGGCCTGGGAACATCAGCAGCCCCAAAGCTACTGATTCTGGGCTCCGGGTTTGGCAGGAAGGCAAGGGGAAGCCAGGTAGAGGTGACAGAGACCTGGAAATCAGGATCAAAACCAAAGCAGGCTTATTGAAAGAATGAGGCTGGATGTGGTGGCTCATGCCTGTAAACCCAGCGCTTTGGGAGGTGGAGACAGTAGGATTGCTTGGGGCAAGAAGTTTGAGATCAGCTTGGGCAATGTGGCAAGACCCCATCTATGGCAACACCCTGTCTCTACAAAAAATTTTAAAAATTAGCTGGGTGTGGTGGTACACACCTGTATTCCTAGCTACTTGGGAGACTGAGGTGGGAGGATTGCTTGAACCCAGGAGTTCGAGGTTGCAGTGAGGTATGACCATGCTGCTGCCCTCTACCCTGGGCGACAGAGTGAGATACTGTCTCAAGAATAAAAAGAAGGAATAGGAGTGGAGGAACCAAGGAGGGAACACTATTGGGTCACTTCTTTTCTTATGTTCCCCTCTCTTTGTACAATATTTAATGTCTTTTTTTTAACCCTAACCTCACCCTTCTCATGACTTATAACTAGTCTCTTTTAGTATTATTCTAGATTGTATATTCTACAATGCAGACAATAAAATAATGGAAGGTGATCCTAGGATGAATACATCCGAGGCTGTTACAGCTTATTCTAGGCATTGTGTTAAGCATTTTGCATGTAAAACCTTATTTACTACTTATGAAAACTCCAAGCTTTTAATATTTAATATTTAAATAACAAGCTTTTAATATTTCTTCTTAAAGATGAATCACAGAGAGATTAAATTATTCAAGGTCACATGGCTAGGGAATGATGGAATTGAGTTTTGGACACAGGTGGGCTGATTTGAGCCTTACCTGTGCTCTTAACCACTTTTCTGCCTCCCTGCCAAGACCTGCCACACTTGTTATAGAGCAACTATGTTGCAACTGTGTTGCCTTTTTAAAAAATCACTCAATCCCAGCACTTTGGGAGGCTGACAGGCAGATCACGAGGTCAGTAGTTCAAGACCAGCCTAGCCAACATGGTAAAACCCCGTCTCTGCTAAAAATATAAAAATATACAAGTATGCACGGTGGCGCATACTTGTAGTCCCAGGTACTTGGGAGGCCGAGGCAGGAGAATCGCTTGAACCTGGGAGGTGGAGGTTGCAGAGAGCTGAGATCACACCACTGCACTCCAGCTTGGGCAACAGAGTAAGACTTCGTCTCAAAAAAAAAGAAAATCACTCAAATTATCATTGTCATAACAATAACTAACATCTGAATCAGCCTTTACAATTTGCAAAGCACATTATTTCTTTCAGTCTTCACGAGATCTCTGTGAAGTCTGCAGGCATGTGCAGCATGAAGGAAGAGACCCTCAACTCCAAAATCTCTATATCTTTACTCCTGGAAGTCTTTGAAATTTTGTTATTTCAGAGTTGTGACCAGGCCAAAGAACTGTGACATTTTTTCTTAACTATGCTAGGTTTTTTTTTCTACTAAAGGAGTTCTCTCCACAGACCTTCTACTTCTTTCCAGGTCATAGAACTCTGTACGTGGGAGTTCGGATGCCGCTGGGCCGGCAGAGTCATCGGCACCACCGCACTCATGGCCCGAAGCACCGGAGGCGAGGGCGGGGCAAAGGAGCCAGCCAGGGGGAGGAAGGCCTGGAAGCCCTGGCCCACGGTAACAGCCTTGGGAGACTGGGAGATGAAGGGCGGGTTTCCATGGCCCGGAGGCATGGGGAGTCTGAGAGGACATGTGACTGACATTAGCAGCTGGTCTTGATTCTCCAGCCCTTTGTAGGATTTTCAGAGCTTGATTCCAAGAAGAAATGCCTCTTAAGAGTCAAAAATGTTTTCATGAAAACTTCATGGTTCTGACCCCCTAAAATCAGTATCATAATAGGTAAAATCCCTTGCTAGAGAATTAGCCAATCGTTTTGATCAAATTCATCAGTTTTCCAGTTTCTTGTGGGTTTTCTTCAAATGGTCTTCATTCATAAATTTTCTCCCCATGAAACTACTTGTACAGAGTAGCTTTTTCTCTGAGAATAAAGAAATCTTTTTCATCTGCATTTGTGTGGCTGTCTATATATATCCCTAAAGTTGTTAGGTAAGGCAAAATGATATTTCTGTTCTAAGTGTGAGGCTAGAGCAGACCTTTCTCTTTGGTTGATTTCCTAGACACACCATCTCAGCGTGTTCAGTTCATTCTTGGCACCGAGGAAGATGAAGAGCATGTGCCTCATGAGCTGTTTACAGAGCTGGATGAGATCTGTATGAAAGAGGGAGAAGATGCTGAGTGGAAGGAAACAGCCAGGTGAGGCCCTAAAATGGCCTGCATCAAGATCTGCTTGGGTAGGCAAATGTGTACCTTTCAGCAAGTGACAGTCCTGCCTGCTTTGTTTCTTCTTGGGAGAAGCTGTGACTGACATGGGGACTGACATTCTAGGGTCTCTGGTGGAAATCTTTGATGTTGGCCTTTATGTGATGCCTTTGTGATACCTATGCCAGTTAACCTGGAGCATGGGATTGGTGAAATAAACAGAGGATATTCAAGGGGTCTCCTCTAATTTGTTTGGGGCTCAGAGTAAGTTTATGGGCTATCTTGGTATTACTGTAGGTCTGGCTTAGAAGATGTGGACAGGGCCACCTTGGTGGGGACCTAGTTAAGCAGACATAGTATAGGTCCAGACTTCTTCTGCAGGTGAACCACAGGGTTCAAATTCACTGGCAGTCAAGAGTTTTTGAGACTGTAACTTCCTCTGGGACAATTCAACCTCATAGAGACCCTTGGGATATAACCAGCCTGACTGTTGGCTTCCTGGAGTGATTGTAGAATAACTGCTTGTCTGAGACTCAAATCCCCGAAGAGCCCTCAGGAGGCATGTCTAGGCTCTTCTAGTAACTGACCAGTGAACTTTACAGATTATGCCTGAGACTCAGGGAAGGGGGGAGGTGGGTAATTAACAAAGCGTGGCTCTAGCTCTCACTGAAACAGCTCTTGCTGAATGCCTGCTGTATTGTGAATGTTATGGGTTGAGAGATTTAAATGGGCCAGTTGACCTGGTATCAAGTGAAAAGGAAATTAGTCTTTTGTTATTCGGTCTTGACATACTTCTAAAGGTCACAAAGAACACTGAACACTAAAGGTCACACAGGACAGAGATAAAAAGAAAAATATCATTTTATTAATGTGATTTGTCAATGTGTCCAAGTAATAGAGATTAAATCTATTTTTTAATTGTACAGGTAATGCATGCTCATTATAGAACTTTTAAGAATAAAGATAAGCAAAAAGAAGAAAAAAATTATCTGTAATCCTGTAACTGCAGGGTTAATGAGGAGTATAATATTTGGTGTCTTATACATGTATGTGTTTGACTTTAAAATTTTTCTTTAAATAAGAATGGAATTAAACTATACTCAGTCTTGCAGTGTTCTATTACCTGCTTTTTTAACTTACCAATGTACCCTGAACATATAGATTAGATTTTACAGTGCTCAGTATGACTATTCAGATAGCTTCCTCTATGGCTTACGTTGAAGATTCTCTCTTGAAAATTCCTCATTTTCTATCTTTGGCATCTAGCTATTTGTAATGCTTTCAGGTGGCTGAAGTTTGAAGAAGATGTTGAAGATGGAGGAGAACGCTGGAGTAAGCCTTACGTGGCAACCCTTTCATTGCACAGTCTGTTTGAGCTAAGAAGCTGCCTTATTAATGGAACAGTCCTTCTGGATATGCGTGCAAATAGCATAGAAGAAATTTCAGGTAAATTGGGGAAGGGAAAACAGAGAGACTTTCTTATACATTTAAGAAGTGTGGGAGGAAAAAAGAGTGTGGTGTGGCAGAAAGAATACGGTGGCTTGTATGTCCTTGGGTAAGCCACAACCTTCCTAGCCTCAGTGTCCTTGGCTGTGGGAAGGGTTTCAGGTGAATATATGACTCTACCTACTTCACAGGTGTATTATGGGATTCAAATGACATGGTGTTAAATTTTCATTTGTCTGTTCATTCAGCAAATATTTTATTTTGTATCTGCTATATACTTGATGACGTGCTAGGCAAGGGGGAATAAAGTCCCCTCGGGTGCAGTGGCTCATGCCTGTAATTCCAGCACTTTGTGGGGCTGAAGTGGGTGGATAACTTGAGCTCAGGAGTTCCAGACTAGCCTGGTCAACATCGTGAAACCCTGTCTCTACAAAAAATAGAAAAATTAGCTGGGAGTGGTGGCTTATACCTGTAGTCCCAGTTATTCAAGAAGCTGAGGCACGAAGATCGCTTGAGCCCTGATGGTCAAGGCTGCAGTGAGCTGAGATTGTGCCACTGCACTCCAGCCTGGGTGACAGAGTGAGACCCTCCCTCTTAGAAAAAAAAGGAAGAAACGGTTCCTGCCTTCAAGGAGCTCACCCTCAAATGGGGGAATAGCCATGGAAATGACAATTAAAATAAGTGCAACAACAGAGAAATGCTTGATAGTAATTAGGGAAAGGGGCAACTGGAGGTTGTGTGTAGAAAAAAGAGTAAACAGAATTAAAGACTTTTAATTATAGCATCTAGGGCAGATATGCAGGAGCTTGAGCCAAAGTGCCCCTACTTCTTCAGTAAGATGTGAAGGGGAGATGTCTGATTGTGCTTCCTGAAGTGATTGAGTGTTAAGTTAGTATATTTGGGGCCTGGATAGAGAAACACCTGGGCGTATGAGGGACTTTTCCCTTGAATTGGTTCTGTTTGGCTGGACAGGTTAAAGAAATATTTCTCCAAACCTTTCTTTATTTCAAGCATTCAAGTAATTCTGTCTCTCTGGGATCACAGGAGGACCCAGGGGAGGGTAAGCACTGATGGGATATTGGGTCCCCTTCTTTTTCAAGAAGGTGCCTCAGAAGTATCGCTCTGACTGCCTGGGAAAGATGGAATTCTCATGTGTACCATTGGAGTCCCATTTTGCTAACTTTTGACTATTTGTCTGAAATTCCATGAATGTCCCTTAAAAGGTTGTTTGTTAGGGAGAAGAATCCCTGGGAGCTATTGAAGCTGTTTAAAACTCTTTGTAAACAACAGCAGCCACTGGAGAGTTTTGGACAGGGTAATGATCAATCAGATTTTGCGTATTGTAAAGATAATTATGACAGTTCAGTTGAAGGGAGAAATGCATTAAGCTATTGCAGTAGTTCAGGTGAGATGTCACCTGCACTGTAGGCAGTGATAGTAAGAGATGGCTAATTTTTCTCCTGAGAACTTTAGGTGATAAGAGAGACAGGAGGCAGTAGATAGAGGGAGACATGAGGTGTATGTTCTTTCTTTTTCCCCCGAGATGAAGGGTCCTAAAGCATGATTAGAATATTGGGGTGGGGTGGGGAAGGAACCAATGCATATAAAGGTTAAACATATAGAAATATGGCTCTTCAGCTTAATTATGGAATAGATTAGCCTCATTTATTCCTTCTAGTACTTGGATAGTCATGGATGGAATTAGAAATTGAGGATAGGTTGAGAGTTTTGGGAGGCTTTTGAAGTATTATGTAGAACTGAAGTAAAAGTGCTATGATTCTTCACATCAGGTACCTAATATAGTCATAATATTTTAGTGATAAGGATCAGTAAAGTATATCAGGAGAATCAGCACTCTCTCTATATTATCTCATTTAATTTTCTGTAATACCCTCTAACGTAGGTAATATGAGTTCCATGTTACCGATGAAGAACTGAGGTGTAGAGAGAGTATGTATCTTGCCCAAGATCACACAGCTAGAAAGTGGTGGAAGAAGGAAGGAATGTAGGCCTTTAACTCCAGAACATACTGGAGTTATACTGATAACTTCTATGTTTACTGACACTTATCACTAGGTATTGAAATTTTTTTCCCCTCAACTCCGTTGGCCTTGATAGGTTTCAAGGTGATGCTTATTGGTAATTGTCTGGGGTGAGTGGTTAGTTAACTTAATTTTTCTTATAGATTCCTCTTCTAAATAGCCCTTTGGAGTTCTACAGTTATAATTCTTCTTGACAATCACAGCAATGTCAAAATCTTGGAGGAAGGGAATGTAGGAAAAATTTAGCAGATGACAGAACAAAGTAGGTAATAATGTGAGCTTTCAAATTATATAGTCCTGAATTTGAATCCCAGCTCTGCAAACTACTAGATGTAAGACCTTGGAGAATTTTCTAGCATTTGGGCCTCAGTTTCCTCATTTGTGAAAATTTTTGTACTAGTACTCAATAGTTTCTATGCCTAATCATAATAATTTGTTGCATGAATAACTTTTCACAGTCACTATCATCAAATAGCACTTTCCAACATGAAGCTGAAATTGTACCTCAATAGCTCTAGTGGAGCTGCTTCCCCCTACTCCATGCCTTTACCCCATTCCACCTGATGTTGGCCTCCTTGGGTTTATTAACCCTCAGTCTTAGTGTTCATGTGAGTGCCTACTTTCTAGACCTGATCCTGGATCAGCAAGAACTGTCCAGTGACCTGAATGATAGCATGAGGGTTAAAGTGCGGGAAGCCCTTCTCAAAAAGCATCATCATCAGAATGAAAAGAAGAGAAACAACCTCATTCCCATTGTTCGCTCCTTTGCTGAGGTTGGCAAGAAGCAGTCCGATCCACATTTGATGGATAAACATGGTAAGATTATTAGGTGATTTTTTTCTCTTTATTAATAAGAAATTTGGGAACTAGTTGGAGATGCTGACTTACCAGAGGTTGGGGCTGTATTTGTCTAATATGTTTCCATGTCCACTTAGGCACTTAGTACTTTTTGGAGACTGGTAAGGTAGGTGGCTGGGACTGCTGCCCATCTCTCTCTCAGAGCCCTAGGGATGCATTCCTCAGATAGTTAGTTCTCAGCAGACCTAAGGTGAGGGACTTATGCCCTAGGGTGGCCTCAGAACTGATGTAGCTTTTGAGAGATATCCATAATGGGGATAATTTGAGACCAGAGAAGGTAAATTGGAGCTTTTTAGGAGTAGACAAATGTCTTAGGTTAGGGAGGCAAAATACAGTAGTGGAGGCTCTTGAGTCAGACTTGTAGGCTTGTGATTCTGGCTTTACCACTCACAAAGTGTATGCCTTTGGGCAATCTACTAAGCCTCTTTAAGTCTCACTTTCTTTCCTATAAAATAAGAGTACAGATAGGACCTACTCTGTAAATTTATTGTGAACTTCAACGAGTTAATCTATGTAAGGTCCTTAGCCAGATGCATGGTGGATGATAAACACTCAGAATTTCGGCTGCTGTTTGGTTCCTTTTCCTGTGGCCAGGCAGGGCCTCATCTACACTCATTTCCTGAATATTACCCATACTGAAGCACCATGAGCAGGGGATATGCCTGGGAATCTATATTTTTGAAAAGTTTTCCATAGATGTCTCTCATAAGCATGTCTGGTTAAGGATCACTGCCCTAGTAGAGAAATAAAAGAGGGTCACAAATGTGTTCAGAAAGCAGGTGCAGAAGTAGTAAGAGCTCTGTCCTCCCTTTACCACTAACTAATAGGTAAGGAGAAAGGTGTATGTGGGTCTTGACTTTGTAGTCATCTTAACCTCTTCTCTATGTAGGCTTTGCAGGAGAAGGCAGAGCCAGTTGATGGATAGATGGGGTGTCAGAGGGGAAAAGCGCAGGTAATCAGGATTTTGATTGATTTTCTCCAAATAGGTCAAACTGTGTCCCCTCAGTCTGTTCCAACTACAAGTCTTGAAGTAAAAAATGGAGTGAATTGTGAACATAGTCCTGTGGATTTAAGCAAGGTGAGCAGAATCATGGGAAATTGGCTTCTAGGCCTAAGGTTATTTTTAGTGGAATCCAGAGTTCAATTTCTGGATTCTGGTTAAGGTTTAGTGTTTCAAGACACTTTTCCCAAGACTAGAGCCCTTTCATCATAAAGGAGGCCCATCTGGGTATGTCTTTTCCCTTCTACTTCAGCCTGGATGAAGCTGACTCAGCAGTTACTTCCTCCAGATTTAATATGCTGAAAACTGAGGCTAGCTACTGAGAATCTTCCCTAACACAGATCTCTGGATTTTTCAATTATTTTTTTGGTACCTGCTCTACAGCAGTTCTTCTCACCCCCAAGGGTTTTGCCAAAACAATATTTTGGATATCTATTTAGAGACAGATGTCTCCTAAGACTAACTCATGGTTGAAGCTCTCCTTGAGGACTGTGACTTTGGTATCTGAGGCCTTCTGCAGTAGCAGTACCTCACTGCAGCTTCTGGTCCAAGCCTTGGTCTCCCTGCCTCCAGCCTCTCCTTGCTCTGGTCTATCTTTAACCCTGTGTTTCTAAAACACAGATAGTGTCATATCACTTTCTCTGTAAGGCTCTTCATTTTATTTAGAGAACCTGAAACCTCTGACAGAACATTTGAGTATTTAAAAAGGGAAAGAATGTGACCCAGAGCTTCAGAAACACTTCTCTTGGAGGTAGCTTGGAGGAATGGGATTGAAATCATAATAGCTAGTTTTAAAATCTGAATTTATACCTTAAAAGCTCTGTGGTTCTGGGCAAGTCAACTTCACCTCTCTGGGTTTCAGATGCTTCATTTTTTGTCTTTTAGTGGGATGAATACAATCTGTCATATCCTCCTCCTGGGGTTTTTGTAAGGATTAAATAAAATAGTGTGAGAAAACATTTGCTAACCGTAAAATGACATATGAGTGTATGGTATGAGGAGGGTGATTGATATTTACGGTGATAGGGCCAGGTGCAGTGGCTCACACCTGTAATCTCAGTACTTTGGGAGGCTGAGGTATGTGGATCGCATGAGACCAGAGTTTGAGATTAGTCTGGCCGACATGGCAAAAATCCATCTCTATTAAAAATATAGAAAAATTAGCTGGACATGGTGGTGCATGCCTATAATTCTAGCTACTAGGGAGCCTAAAGCACAAGAATTGCTTGAACCTGGGAGGCGGAGGTAGCAGTGAGCTGAGATTGTGCCTCTGCACTCCAGCGTGGGTGACGGAATTAGACTCTGTCTCAAAAAAAAAGTAAATAAAAAATTTAAAAATGATATTTTAGGTGGTAGTTCCCAAGTTGTCAGAGGATTCTTTTGGACTTTCAGGTAGACCTTCATTTCATGAAAAAAATTCCTACGGGGGCTGAGGCCTCCAATGTCCTGGTTGGCGAGGTGGATATTTTGGACCGTCCCATTGTTGCCTTTGTGAGACTGTCTCCAGCTGTTCTTCTCTCAGGCCTAACAGAAGTGCCAATCCCAACAAGGTAAAGGCAAAGATAAAACTCATGCATTCTATCCAGAGTTCAAATTTATGCAGTGCTGGTAGAAGAAACCAGTTAATATCGAAATTTAGAATTAATTAATTTTAGGAATGGTGTTTACAATTCAGCAGAAAAGCCAGATGTGCTGGTGTGTGCCTCTAGTCCCAACTACTTGAGAGGCTGAGGCAGGGGGATTACTTGAGCCCAGGAGTTTGAGCCTTCAGTGAGTTAGAATCCTAGGATTGCACCATGGCACCCCAGTGTGGGCAACAGAGTCAGACCCTGTCTTAAAAAAAAAAAAAAAAAACCGCAGTAATCTCAGAAAATGAGGTATATTTGATTAACTGCCATGAAGAAGAATTCTGAGATTTCTGAGGCTGTGACTGCACAGCACCTAAAGCCCTGGAAATAGAGAATTGAAGAGCATTCAAAGGACATAGCAAGGGCCAATAACTTGTTAAAATAGGAAGCCAAGTGTTATCTTCTCAGTTCTATAAAGCCATATCACAGGGAAACGCCTCTTAATGAAGGTATTTGTTTCTCTTTACACAATTCTGGCAGGGTTTACATGGTTTGCAAATGTGCACACATTTGTTCAAAAGGCTGTTCATACACTCTGAAGGTGGTGATGCTGGTGATTCAGAGCCCTGCTACTTACAGGGAGTATTCAGATGTCCAGAACACAATTTAGACTCCTCTGTAAGGCTTGATCATTTCAACCTTCTCTCCCCATCATTTTCTTATTAGAAAAATAAATGGAATTCAGATAACCTTGAATTTGCACCACAATGCCATGTTTTGAAAAAACGTCTTTTCTACAGCTAGGAACCATAAGAGATATAACTACATTATTGAATGATGCCACACAATAGCATCAAATGCCCATAGTGGAGCTATTATTAGGTCAAGGCAACTCAAAGTGCTCCTTCATTACTGTCTCCTTTTTTTTTGAAGGTACAGTGATGATTTCTGTATGACAGGAGAGAGAAATCTTATGCTATTTAGACAGGACTAAGATGGCACTCCTTTATATTTATTTACATCATTTCCTCCTCTGTGTGTTTTGCCAGATTTTTGTTTATCTTATTGGGTCCAGTAGGGAAAGGTCAGCAGTACCATGAGATTGGCAGATCCATGGCCACCATCATGACAGATGAGGTATGTGCAACTTCTGCTTCATTCTTCCCATCTCATAAATATTTATTGAATGTTTACTCTGTGCCAGGCACTGTGCTAGTTGTTGGGGATAAAATACTTTCCATTGCAATGTCTGCTGGGAAGTAGTTCAACTGAGAGCCTAGTGTAGAAGGACCAAGCTCTAGCGGATTTTTCTTCCTATGTTATCTCCCATGTTTTGAGTAATCAAGGATGCAGAGAAATCTTTTTCTGGGGAAACTATTGCTGTCATGTAGGATATATAGAGAAATATATTAAGGTTGGCTTAACTTTCAAGAGAAGATGGTTAATTAAATACATTCAAGCTATTTACATAAAGAAACCTCACTCCTGTTCCACTAAATGAGATCAGTTTGTGTAAGCTCATGGGTATGACCTCAGGCAGTGTAGTATGAATGTCTTAACTAGTCTGTACCAAAACAACCAGACAATTTGACATTGTATTGAACCCACAGTGCATCCTCTGGAAAGAACTGCACCACTCTGTAAGCTGCAAAGTAGGACTTTCAAGCCATATGCCTTAGGGAGAAGAAGGAGGTGTGGTCTGTTTTTTTGTCAGCTTTCTTTGATTGAGAGGCTTAATTCATGGAGGACCTTCACCAGTAATTCTAGCCCGTGTTTCCAACCTTTATGATCAAGAAAATTTTCCTCTCAACCTGGGAAAGCTGATGAAAAAAATATTTTTCATACATCTTGTTTTTCCTTCCATCCTTTGTGGAGATAACATATTTGTATACCTTTAGAGTCATGTCTTACCTCTTCTTATACTAGCAGACGTATATTTAGTTCTTTTTGATGCATCTCATTTCTACACTTGTTTTTTAAATCCTTTTATCCTTATACTTCTCTAAGTGCTAAAGTTTCTGCATCTCAGATCCCCCTAATAGACATAAAAATCAAGAGGTTTTATCCATTTTTCACCAGATCCATTGGTGATTGTTTCATGTAAAGTTTCTCTTAACTTTCCTGAGGGTTTTTTCTTCTCTGTAGATTTTTCATGACGTAGCATATAAGGCAAAAGAGCGAGATGATCTCCTTGCGGGGATTGACGAGTTCCTTGACCAGGTGACGGTGCTCCCTCCAGGAGAGTGGGATCCCTCCATTAGAATTGAGCCACCCAAAAATGTCCCTTCCCAGGTAATGTATGCACGTCACCCAGTGTGACTATTGTCACTGACTGCCCACCATGGACAAAGCAAAGACCATATGGGTATATGCTAAATATATCAAGATGCAGCCCTCTTTTGGTGCACCTAGAATGTCAAAACAGTAATAAAAATGACTTTGGGCTGGGTGCGGTGGCTCATGCCTGTAATCCCAGCACTTTGGGACACGGAGGCAGCTGGATTACCTGATGTCAGGAGTTCAAGACCAGCCTGGCCAACATGATGAAACCCTGTCTCTACTAAAAATACAAAAATAAGCTGGGCATGGTGGTGCCTATAATCCCAGCTACTCAGGAGACTGAGGCAGGAGAATCACTTGAACCTAGGAGTTTGAAGTTGCAGTGAGCTGAGATGGTGCCACTGCACTCCAGCTTGGGTGGCAGAGTGAGACTCCATCTTAAAAAAAAAAAAAAAAGAAAGAAAAAGATATAAATTGGCTCAGGGCTCAGGTGTGATGGCTTCAGTCGGGATTACCTGGGGATGGATTTTAAGCCAAATTTTGAAGGATCGATATGAAATGGCAGAGAAGAGAAGAGAAGAATAGAGAACATTTACTGGGACTACATTGTATGCAAGTCATCAAATGAAAAGAGCAAGTTGTATAGAGAGAGCAAATAGAGTATCTGTTATTTTTCTGACATATTAAAGATGGGAAAGGAGCTCCTACTATGTACTAGACACCAGCCAGGTGCTTTATATATGCAAATTCAGCCTTCTCAGGAACATCCCTCAAAAGGTACTGTTATTTCTAGTTTTACAAATGAGGAATAAAACTACCTTCTAGGGCAAGATTTTAAGGTAAAGTAAGATTGCACAGAGGCAGATTTGAAACTGGAACTTAGGTCATATCTGATGCCAAAGCCCCCTTTTTTCTGTTTGCTGGCAAGGCATAGTTAGGAGTCAGGTACTATGGAACAGGAGGTGACATTATGCGGGTGTGTGTGTGCGTGTGTGTGTGTTTCAGTAAAGTCGATAAACTGCTTCAGTTAATGAATTTGAAAGCTACACTTGGGCATTTTTGGTTGCTTTTGGGTTATCCCATTGCCACTCCCCTCTGATAGCAGGAGGGAAAAATAGATGTTAACTTTACTAATTTTGTGGTCTTCTGTTAAAAGGAGAAAAGGAAAATGCCTGGAGTTCCGAATGGAAATATTTGCCACATAGAACAGGAACCACATGGGGGTCACAGTGGGCCAGAACTTCAGCGCACTGGGCGGTAAGTCCTGGGATGTTTCATAGCAATGCTGCTTCTTAGGTAGAAGTTATGTGAAAAAATGAGGCATCCTCTTTCTTTCAAACTTCTTCTTTGTAGTGGGAATTTATTGGCTGAAGAATGACTTTTCAAATGGAAACACTGACTAGAAATATTATGAATATATCAAATATCATATTCATTCATTCAAGTTTCTCAAATCACCTACCATGTTTTGTCTCACCTCCAGTCCTTCCTACCATGGTTCCCTCTGATTTGAACACTCTTCCTCTTCCTCATCTCCTGGCTAACTCCTACATATCCTTAGTCTCAGTTCTTGTGTCACTTCCTTTGGAAAGCCTTCCAGAACTCTCTGTGGATGAAGTCAGGTGTACCTGCTATGTAATATCACAGTATTGAGCTCTGACCTCCCTTCTCCACATTACAGCCTTTATCATACTTTATTATTATTAGTTGATTTATTGTCTTTTCTGCTAGACTGTTTGTTCTAAAACAGAAGGGGCTCATTATATTACTAGGACCCAGCACAGTGCCCTGAACAGAGTAGACTCTCAATATCTGCTAAATGAATGAATACCTTTAGAATGATGTCTGTTCTGTCGCATGGAATGGACTAGGTATGATAAATTTTGAGTGATCATTTTAGGTTAAGAAACTCCCTTAGGGCAGGAAGATAGGTACTATTTTAGGTGTGTGTGCCTCAGAATAGGCAATCTGCTCTTCTAGGCCAACTTTTTTTGGGGGGAGGGGAAGGAGTTTCACCCTGTCACCCAGGCTGGAATGCAATGGCATGATCTCAGCTCACTGCAACCTCTGCCTCCCAGGTTCAAGCGATTCTCTTGCCTCAGCCTCCCAAGTAGCTGGGATTAAAGGCACGTACCACGATGGCTGGCTAATGTTTTGTCTTTTTAGTAGAGATGGGGTTTCATCATGTTTGCCAGGCTGGTCTCGAACTCCTGACCTCAAGTGATTCACCCGCTTTTGCCTCCCAAAGTGCTGGGATTACAGGTGTGAACCACCATGCCCGGCCTCTAAGCCAACATTTTAAGGACAGATGTCCGAGGAGAAGGCAGGTGAGGGAAGCAGGTCCCTAGACTGGGAGGTTTTATTCCCTAAGTCAGAAAGTGGTAAAAGAGAATGATATTTTAGGTTGGTGTGACATTCAGAGGTGTCCCCAGATCATGAGAGAAGGTTGAGACTATGGCTGTGTCTCTGTTAAGCTGTACTGTTAAGAAGGTTCTGCTGGGTAGAGATTCTCAGGACAGGACTCAGATCATGGAAAGCAGCTTTTATGTCCTCTAACCTCTTGCTTTCTTCTTTCTGCCTCCTTGCTTGAGGCTGCTTTGCTTACTTTTCTGTCCTCAGCACTCTACCCAGTAGAAACTCAGGGTTGTTTTGGAATTGTGGAAAGCATTTTATTTTTCCAATCTTAGAAATTCAGGGAAAAGCCAGGAAAGGAGAGAGAGAAACAGGAGACAATGGCACTTGACTAGCAGTTGTCCTGTACAGGGGCATGTTTTCTGATAGGAAGAATGTATTGGAGTGTAGGGGAAGATGGCTGTGCTCTGGAAGGGAGCATGGGTGGAAAGAAGGTATTCTTGCAATGGAAGGGCCACTGAAAAGAGGGAGCAGCCTCCCCTTTAAAAAAACATTTTCTTTAAAGTTGGGAGAGGTCTGAATTGGGTGGGGAGGCCTGAATTGGGTATCGAGAGACAGTTCAAGGGAAGCATGTGTCCTTAGAAGGGGTTCCAGGATTGACTCTGTCCTAAAGGAGGTGGTAATTTTTTCAGGAAAAGGTTTTGAATATGGATTTGATATTTCAAAATTACAATTTATCTTTTGGACATAAAGGGTGTCCACAACTTAGTAACTTAGAGTTTGAAAGTAGCAGAATTTGGGCCAAGAAGGTTTCCCTCAAACCAATATCTGTGCAGAGGTGAGATTTTAGGTTGCTATTGGTGCCAAAGAAAATGAATAGATAAGAGGGGGTCACTTATAATCAATTCTGCATGGGGGTTTGGGAGACCATTAGATTGGATCTCAACAGTTATAAGATCTTGGAAATGGTGTCTGATGTCCCCAAGAAAATCCCATATTGCTAGAATCATCATCATATGCTTATTCACAAACCCCAAGTATCTTAATTCACAAATTCAAATAGAGTTTGAAAGAGTTATCTCATAATGTCAAGTCAGGAACTTCTGGAATTGACAAAAAAAGCTAAAAGGAAGCTCTAGGCTCAGAGCTTAGTTCTGCTTGATATGGGAGATGCTTCCTCTTTCTGAGCTCCTGTCATTTTCCTTAGAGCCCTTAGTAAAGGGCCTCAAGCCATATGACCTTCCTCCCGGTGTAGCACCTTAGGCAGGGTGACATAATGCCTGCATCAAGGATCACAGTTCCAGGCCAGGTCTGGCCTCTTTCTCAGTCTCAAATTATATGGGAGGTAAACGTGAGCCTTTTTTGCATATGGACATGCTCTACGTTTCTGTACTTTCCTGGACTGTACAAACTAAAACCACATTAGCCTGGGTTTTATAATTCTTCAGACTATTAGTTGTGTTTCTTTGAGGTGTAAAACTGTTTTATGCTTGCCATGCTTAACAACATTGGAGCAAAACTTAGAAAACATCTTAAGGAATATTATCCTTGTTGGATGGAGATGTATTTGAAGGCAGGGTGAAGTAGACTCTAAGAAGGTGGGAAAGGACTCCATGTATCTTTGGGACCTGTCAGCTGTGGCAGTCTCCCTTCGTAGCCATGGAAGAGCATATTCTTGTTTATTGGCAAAGCTGTCACCATTTAATTGGTATCAGATTCTGACTTACACAAGTAACATTCTTCACTGTTTAAAAAAATAAAGAAGGTGGGAAAGGAGACAAAATTAAATGGTACTCTGAGTTCTGTATGATCTGACCCTCCAAGCCAGGGTTAAGACAGATCTTGAACCTCCCTGATATTGACTAAGGCAGGGATGCCATAAGTTACAAAGAAGAAAGTATGATGAGAGTGTTCCTAGGCCAGAAGCTCCACAGCAAGGAGGGTGCCCTGGAAAGGGGTTTTTCAGGGTAGATTTATGTCCCTTATTGGGGATGCCACTTTTGGGAAGGGCCGATGGAAAAAGAATCAGGAGCTGCTATCTCGGTGATCCCCCCCACACTTCAAACAGGTTTCTTCCAAAGCATACCAGACAACTGGATGGCTGGCCTGTTTCTAAAGCCCTCTAGGGAAGGGCTCCTTAAGTCAATGCTCCAGAGCCTAGTGACCCTCTACGCAGGTAAGTCCTTTCTTGCATCAAGCTTAAATTAAGCTCATATCCCTGTGTGCCTCCTGCCCCAGAAAACTTGAATGTGAAGGACAGTGTTGAAAGGGAAAGGAAATCCCAAGTACAGATAGAAGCATCCATGCCTGACGAATATCTGTTGTAGATATGCAGTCATAGTCTGATTTTATACATGAATGATATAGGAGTCTGATTCCATAAAGTGTTCAGAAATTATTTTATTAATTTATAGTTATAACGTCCATATGAGCCTCAGATCTTTCCCTGGCTTTTAATCACTGCTAGATGCATAGATGTCTTCCCTTTCCCTTTCTATGGCTTCTCAGAAATCACATAAATCTTTTGTCTGTTGTTCACAGACACTCCTGTCCTCCTGTGTCTAGGGGCTGAGTAATCATGGCAGCATCTCAGGTAGCCTCAGAGAGAGAGAGAGTGAGAGAGAGAGAGAGAGAGAGAGAGAGAGAGAGAGAGAGAGAGAGAGAGAGAGAGAGAGTGTGTGTGTGTGTGTGTGTGTAGGGAGTCACTATTATACAAGGAGATTCTTCTCACAGAATTGTGCTCTCCAGAGGAAGGTGACTGGTAATGAAGGGATAATCATATGGTAATAGGATGCTATGTTAGCTAAGAACCCAGAAATTCTTGAATCTTGCCCCAGACAAATGACTGGGGCCTATAAGGTTATTGATGGGCTGTTTAGCTAGAGGAGAAAGACAAATTGATGCTTTATTATTAACTGAAGTATTGGTCTCAAACCCTGAGGCAGAACTCTTATGATTTAGGCTAAACCAGGTAGATAGCTCCTTTACCTAAGCTAGGTTTGCCAGACAGGCTAAAATTAAGGCAGGTCACAGGCTGGCTTTGCTTCTCTTCCCTACGCCCAAACCCAGATTATGATGTTACTGCCTTAAGTTGAGGTGAATCCCAACTACACCCACCAGAAAGAGCAGGTGGATAAGTGTCTGTCCTGTGTCCACCTGCACACCCATTGTACTAGCTAGATGAGAGAGAGTGTTCAAGGGGAAACTGCTGGCTAGACCTTCTCCCCTTGCATACAGATCCCAGGCCTCATCATATTCCTTCAGGCTCCTAGGTAAGAGAAGGAAAGAAAGAGCTGACCAAGCCTCCTTCCATGAGAGAATAGCTTGTGGGTTTTAAAAAACAGCTTTTTATTATAGAAAATTTTAAACATATTAAAAAAAGAGAGACTAGTTTAATGAACCCTCATGTACCCATCAACTATTACCAACATTCTGCCAATCTTGTTTCATCTATTTCTTCCCACTTAATTTTATTTTTATGTTTTCTAGATTATTTTAAACCAAATCACCGACATTTTACCTGTAAATACTTCAGTATGTATCTCTTTGATTAGGACATCATGCCATTATCAAATCTAACAAAGTTAACAATTATTCTTTAAATTGTCTAATGCTCAGTTCATATTAAACTTTTTATGATTGTGTTAGCAACATCTTTTTAGAGTTCATTTGTTTGACATAGGAGTAAATCAAAGTGTGCGTTTGGTCATTATGTTCCCATTCTGTAGTAGTCCTTCTTCCTTGTTTTCTGTGCCATTGATTGGTAGAAGAAGACAGGGGATTTGTGCTATAAAATGCTGAGTGGCTCTTTCTGTTATTCACCTGACAACCCTTGTCCTGGTGCAGTGACTCCACTCTTAAAAAAAGTGACTGAACTGGGAGCACATTTCCTCCTTAGTGTGGGAGATCTTGGTCTTGGTCTGTCTCATCTTTGAGAAGAGGAAAGAGGCCCTGAAGTCCTGCCACCAAGTCCTGTTGATCCTACCTCCTGATTAGCTCTCAAATCCATCCACTTCTTATCCTAATCTATGCTCCATTCATCATACTACCACAAGAGTGGTCTTTCCAGAATGTGTGTTTGATGATGTCACCCCTCTGTTTACAGTTCTTCAGTAACTTGACATGCTATTAGGATGAAGTTTTAATTCCTTAAAATCATTTACAACGCCCTTTTGACTTAGCTTCTCCAGCCTTGTCTGTTGGCATTTACTCTTCACACTGTATTAGCCACTCATATCTCTCAGCACCTTGACTTACCATGCACTCTCACCTCTAAGTGTCACCCATGCTGGCCCCTCTGCCTCATCTGGCTAACTCCCAGTCCCTCCCTGAAGTCATGGCTGAAATGCCCCTCCCTGCTCTATGCCACCATGGCACCCTCACAACACTGCCTGTCTCCTGCACTAGACTTGGTCCTGGAGAGCAGGGCTGTTCATGTCTTGCTCATTGCGGCATCTCTAGTACCTGACACAGTGCCTAGTACCAAGTATCTGCTCCTACTTGTCAATTGCATGAATGAATTATTATGCTAATTTCTCACAAGTAAGGTGAGTAGTTGTTCAGAGTAAGAAAGTGCATGTGATAGGGTCTTTTTATCTAGAAAACACTTAATAAAACTAATAATTTTAATACCTTAAGTTGGTTTTGCACATTTCCTCCTAACAGCTCAGAATCTAAAGTTTGAAGGTAATACTTGCTTTCATGTTAATTTTTTTGAAATTTTTTTCATTAAATGGATAATATGCATATCTAAATTAATTATTTGTATGTTTAGGATATTCATTCAAATTTACCATAAGTTATACCCTTGGTTGCGAAGAGACTCTGCTGACCTGAGAGTGATATCTGTACTGGGCCAAAGTCTTACCTCTAAACAGAGTGCATTTGAAATGCTTTCAAATGTGTGCTGTTCACATGCTTTTAGGAAGAAGGACTGCATTAGAGGCCTGTCTACTGTGTTTCCACAGGCTATTTGGGGGCTTGGTGTTGGACATCAAGCGGAAGGCCCCCTGGTACTGGAGCGACTACCGGGATGCACTCAGCTTACAGTGTTTGGCCTCCTTTCTGTTCCTGTACTGTGCCTGCATGTCACCTGTCATCACCTTTGGGGGATTGCTTGGAGAAGCCACTGAGGGACGCATAGTAAGAGTCCTTAACCACTTCGAATGGTCCCAAACAAGAACTAAAATATTGTGGCGGCAGCCAAGTCCACTGGGGGTGAGGGGGAATTACCCGGTATAGGACTGAAGAGATTGGATTTTTCCTCTGAATTATCATGGTCTTCTGACATCATACCAAAGAACAACACAGTTCTCTCTTTAGAACAGACTCTTCTGCTTGAACATCAGCTTCAGTAGCTGGTTGCTTAGTTGAGTTTTCTGTTGCCTCAGTGATGGAAAATGGATATATTGAAGCCATTTTAAAATAAGATTTAAAGTGACTCTGTATGTGAGCTTGTAGTGTGAATGGTATCACTGTGCTTTCTATATGTTTTCAAATACTGAATTGAGTCACTGAAGAATAGGAGTTAGTTAAGGAATGATGTGTCAGTAGATCTGGGCACCTGAATTATTAAAGTAGTATCTGTTTACAGGAGTATTAGATGGTGTGTACATATCACTCTTGCTAAGATGAAATATAAGCAAATGGCCATCAGGGCACACAGGAGAGCTAAGTCAGGAATGTACCTAAGCCAACGTTACTCGTATTGATGGGCTATGGACTCAGTGATGACTTTTTTTTCCTCTTAGAGTGCAATTGAATCCTTGTTTGGAGCCTCCATGACTGGGATTGCTTATTCCTTGTTTGCGGGACAGGCTCTCACCATCCTGGGAAGTACTGGGCCAGTGCTTGTGTTTGAAAAGATTTTGTTCAAATTCTGCAAGTAAGACATTTGTTTTTCTGAAAATTCTAACCATATTTAGTGATTATGCTGCCAGGGTTAAATTTCAGGGTTCTGTTTGAATACAGACAGGCAGTATGATTCTGGATTGTAAGAAACCTGAAAGGATAACAACATTTGGTCTGTTGTCCTGCCCCTAGGTAGCACCATACCAAAAATAGCAGATCTCCTATTCTTAAAGAGCTTGATTAATATCCCTCAGCCATTATTGAAGCGTTGACTTTTTATCTTTAAAAAGACTTTTCCTAGCTACTTCAAACTTCATCATTTCCATTGCAAGTCAGTTTGTAATTTGGCCTAATATCCCCCTTCATATATATGTGTATGTATATATGTGTGTATACATACACATATATTGCTAGCGATAGTGGGGCACAAGAGTGCTCTGGTTTTCCTACTTTTCCTATACAGTCTTCTCTTTTTTCCTTTTATATTTCAAGTAGCAGCGCATGGGACTAGGGCCAGCCCCTTTTTCTCTTACTACAAGGATAAGATCATAATTACATTAGGTAGTAATGGCAGGAATGTATGAGACAATTTCTTTTTTCAGTTTTCCTATCCTTGCCCATATCCTGTGAAGTGAATATGTATCACAACTGTGCCAGAGCATTATTTAGGAGTAAAATGCATGCAGTCAGAATTAGGATAAATTGGGTTCCAGTGCTGGTTTAGATGAGTTGAATTAACCACATTTCTGACTCCTTGTCTCTTAATACCATCAATTCATGCTTTCTGATGAACTTTGGTCTTGTTTCAGAGACTATGCTCTTTCATACCTCTCCCTGCGAGCTTGTATTGGACTGTGGACCGCTTTCCTGTGTATTGTCCTTGTGGCAACTGATGCCAGTTCCCTTGTCTGCTACATTACCCGTTTCACTGAAGAAGCATTTGCCTCCCTAATTTGCATTATTTTCATCTACGAAGCAATAGAAAAACTGATTCACCTGGCAGAGACCTATCCCATCCACATGCACAGCCAGCTGGACCACCTTAGCCTCTATTAGTAAGTGTGCTTTCTGCTTAATTTTAGAAAATTGAGCAAAGGACCTGAGTTTAATTGCTGATATAGAGTGCTAGGCAGTGCTTACAGCTTCTAGTAAAGAAGTGTCTTGCCCTTTGGGAAATGGAGCTCAGATATGGATAAGGAGAATTGGAGGGCTGCCAGAAGAGAACAATCAAAAGTGTTGGCAGAGAAGATCGACTGAAAGTGAAACACAGAGGGTACTCAATAAGTGCTATCCAGACCAGGTCTTTGGGTTCTAGGCACCGACATAAAAATAGGCAACAAATGTAGCAGGGAGAATTTGAATTAATTATGGGGAGGAACTTCTTTTTGCAAGGATTTGTGAGCCCCTGGACTATGTGATCAAGTGAGAGAATGGACTCTTTTCTCTTTTTTTCTTTCTTTCTTTCTTTTTTTTTTTTTTTTTTTTTTGTTAGCCCCTTTGTTGAAATGAAGGATTCTCTTTTTCTGAAAGTATGTACAGGCAACTCTTAGGAATTATTAGGTGAAGCTTTATTAATAATTCATTTAAGATCCTGAGGCATCTCATACTATATCATAAAGATCTAGAAACCTACTTACTTCCTAGATTTCAACTCTGGAGATTAGGATTTCTTTATGTGTTCAATATGGTTTGGATCGTCTAGAAAAGAAACATAGTATCTGACTGTGTTTTCAACCATGTAGGACACTCTGGTCCTATAAACATTTCTTCTCTTGAATAGCATTCTCCAAATTATGACTAAAGATCCTCTTCCCTTAGCTCTGTACATTAAGTTCTGGCTGTACAGTTCTGATGTGGAGGATCTGGTTGTGAAATGACAATTTCAGTTCAAAACTGCCTCATAAGAGAGAGTACACTGCCTGGATGCATCTGCCAACCAGCAACAGATAGACTTTCATCTATTCTAGTTATTCACTCATTAACCTTTTAAAAATCAGAATTAATAAAAAATTTATTAGAACTCTATTCTACTAGAAAGTAAATGATCAGGGAGTATAATCTTCAATGCCTAGTGAATTGGCTCCTGTTGGCATTGGAGTTCTTATTTCTGTAAGGTTCATTCTCTGACCTCTTTTTATCATTAATTTCTTTGTTTAACAAATATTGATTGAGTACCTATTATGTACCAAGCACTGTTTTAGGCCTTGGAAACATAGTGGTAAACATGGAAAGGATCTGTCTTTATGAGGCTTATATCCTAATGGGAGAAGACAGGCAAAGTGACCAACCCTGGATTGAGTAGACTTTGGTTCCAGAAAGAAATTTGTTAATAAAGCTCAAGATGAATTTTTTTTTTAGTCTCATTCTACTGTTAGTTCATGTGGTGCTGATGTGAAGCTAGAACTCCTCAACTCTTTAAATGGTTTTATGTTAATATGTATGGAATTGATTTTTTAAAAACAGACTTTATTTTTTAAAGCAGTTTTAGATTCATAGCAAAGTTGAATAGCAAGTAGAGAGAGTTTGCATATTCCCCTACCCCAGCACACACATAGTCTCCCCCAATATCAATATCCCATACCAGAGTGGTAAGTTTGTTATAATCAGGGAACCTACACTGACACATTATTGCTGCCCAAAGTCCATAGTTTACATTAGGGTTGGCTCTTGGTTTTGTACATCCTATGGATTTTGATAAATGTATAATGACATGTATCCTCCATTATAATATCATACAGAATGCTTTCACTTCCCTAAAAATCTTCTGGGCTTCACTTGTTGCTCTCTCCTTCCTCCCAACTCCTAACAACCACTGATCTTTTTATGTCTTTATAGTTTTGAATTTTCCAGAATGTCATAGTTGCAATTATATAATATGTAGACTTTTCATGTTGGCTTCTTTTACTTTGTAATATACATTTAAGGTCCTCTATGTTTTTTCATGACTTGGTTGTTCATTTCTTCTTAGTGCCAACTAATAGTCCATTGTCTGGATGTACCATGGTTTATTTATTTGGAATTGATTTTTTAAAACCTAAGTATAGGTTTTAAAGCTTTATAGCTTTCCCTATTACTTTTCATTTTGTCAGTTTCTTCCTATTATTCTAACCTGTTGAGATCTTTTTGAATTTTAATTCCATCATGCCATATCTTAGAAGGCATGCTTATTAAATTTATAGACCATACAAAGTTAGTGAGGATGGCTGTGTCAGTTGACCATATTGGGAGCCATGTCAGGCATGAAGCATGCTGGGACTGGGAGGCAACATGGTGGCCAATGGCATAGGTGTGGTCTGGTCTGGTCTGGTTTGGCTGGAACAGGAGGCCTGGGGAAGCTAAAGGAACTTCTAGGTCTGGCTGTACCATGAGTAGCCAGGGAATGGCTAAGGTAGCGGGATATTCGCAAAGGTAACAAGTGTCAGGAAGTGCTTACATCATGACTCCAGGAGACTCTGAGCATGATGAAGGGTATAGGGAATAAGATATTCAAGCTTGGAGGAAGTTGTTGAAAAGTAAGTGGGATATCGAGACCTCCTTGTGATGTAGATTAAATTTCATAGCAAGAGCCTAAGAGATAGAAATTGGGCCAAAAAATATTCAGGACTCATTCTGGGCACATCAGATACCAAACATTGTTGTCAGCACAGTTTAATCCAAGATCCATGGGATGATTTGCGTCCAACTTTAGTAATGACCAACTGAAAAATTAGAATATGTTTGGGCCTACAGAGGGAACTCAACCCCTCAGGTCTGAAGTATGCAAAGGAGAAGCAAGGCAGCTCCTGCAGCTTTTAAACCAGTTGTGTCTAAAAGCATTTAACTGAGTATTTGGCTGTTTTCCTCAGGAATCTTTTTAATTTTTCCCCTCAGCTGCAGGTGTACTCTCCCAGAGAATCCAAACAATCACACCCTGCAGTACTGGAAGGACCACAACATCGTGACAACAGAAGTCCACTGGGCTAATCTGACTGTCAGTGTAAGTCTGGGAGCTGCCCGATGTCCCAGCATTGTGATCACAGGTTTAGGAGGGACTTCTATGTGAAAGGGAGGAGTAGCCCTTTGGCAAACTCTAGCATTTACCAAAATAAAGCTTTTTTAAAAAAAAATTCTTACTTTCTTTTATCCTTTTCTTGTACATAAGGGGAGAAGATTACTCTTCTCTTCTCTCCCCCTACATCCTACCCAGTGACTGTGTGCTAAGTATAGGTGGGGATGAAACCATGCAGGACAGGGGGCAGATCCAGACATGTGGGGTTGAAGAATATTCAAGTTTGGAGGTCCTCTGTGAGAACAATACAAGTTGCCAGGGTCCTTCTGGAGCCTTGAAAGTAGTGTTTGTTCAGAACAGTTCTGGTTCTATGTCTTAGGACCATAAGTAGACACCCTACTTGAAAGTGGCCTGTGCAAGACAGGACCCTGCAACTGCATGAAGGTCAAGGTTGCAGCCTCTGCTCCCAACAACCATGGGATAACAGTGAATGGTGGCCTCAGAGGAGACAGCTGTTTATTTGGTTGTGTCTGCCTTTCCTCATCAAGAATGTTTATTCCTCCAGGAATGCCAGGAGATGCATGGAGAGTTCATGGGATCTGCGTGCGGTCATCATGGACCCTACACTCCTGATGTCCTCTTTTGGTCCTGTATTCTCTTCTTCACCACCTTCATTCTCTCAAGCACCTTAAAGACATTTAAGACGAGCCGTTATTTCCCGACCAGAGTAGGTAACATGTTCATGAATTTCTTTTATGTTAGAATCAAATATAACAGAACCTTTTCTCAGCCTCTGTCCTTCTTATGGGGTTGATTGGCCGGGTGGAGAGCTCCAGATGTCCTGATGAGCCACACTGGCATTCTCACCTAGTGTCTGGCAGCCTCTTTCATTGATCTGTGGTTAGGAATGAAGGGTTAATACTTAAAACCTTTTTGCAATTAAGTTTAAGTTGGTAGTGATGCTTTTTAAGAGTAATAAAGTCTTATTTCCAGAATGCTGTTACATTTCATTTTCAGAATGCTGAGACACTTAGCACACAATAGCTACAGCTGGCTCCTGAATACAGTAAATTGTGGTCGTCACCTTGGATACTTTAGAGGACCCAAAAATCTTCTCCCAGGGATGGCGTTTGTAATAGCTTATGACAATGACTGCAGCGACCAGCATGCTCTAACTTAGTGTGTATGACTGTTTGAAGCCTCTGCAACCTTTCCATGATGCAGATAGCATTGTTTGTGTTATGACCAAGGCTTTTGTCAGTTTTGCCAGGGCAAGATTAGAGGCTGAGTGTGGAGTAGCTACATGGGCCATTTATTTGAAAGGGAGCTTGAGAAGGTGGAGAGTGGCTACCGGAACCTCATCACAGAAAGTTAATACTGAAAAGAATAAACACATGAATTATTTACATTCTTCAGTCACATGGAAACTTCTATAATAAATGACCATTACATTTGTCATATCAAAACTATAAAAGGAAGATGGGTGATGTACAGTGACCACAAAGTTTGTGCCACAGAAAGGTCCCCTAAAGACTTGGGTTACACATACCTTTACCACAGTATACCAAGCTAAACCTCAAACATACGAATCAGTGAAAAGAAGCCACATACCCTTTTTTTGAGACAAAGTCTTGCTCTGTCACCCAGGCTGGAGTGCAGTGACATGATCTTGGCTCACTGCAACCTCCACCTCCCGGATTCAAGCGATTCTTCTACCTCAGTCTCCTGAGTAGCTGGGACGACAGGTGTTCACCACCATGCCCAGCGAATTTTTTTTTGTATTTTTAGTAGAGATGGGGTTTCACCATGTTAGCCAGGATGGTCTTGATCTGTTGATCTTGTGATCTGCCCACTTCAGCCTCCCAAAGTGCTGAGATTACAGGCGTGAACCATTCCGCCTGGCCCATATACCTTTTTAATTTGCCAAAAAGGTAGAACAGCCTTATATGAAGAAATACATTGGGTATTTGTAGTTTATTTAACGAATACAATCAGGCCAGTCGTGGTGGCTCACACCTATAATCCCAGCACTTTGGGAGGCCAAAGCAGGTGGATCACCTGAGGTCAGGAGTTTGAGACCAGCCTAGCCAACATGCTGAAACCCCATCTTCACTAAAAAAACAAAAGTTAGCTGGGAGTGGTAGCACAGGCCTATAATCCCAGGTACTCGGGAGCTGAGGCATGAGCATCACTGAAATCCAGGAGGTGAAGGTTGTAGCGAGCTGAGATTATACCACTACACTCCAGCCTGGGTGACAGAGTGAGACTCTGTCTCAAAAAAAAAAAAAAAAAATTTTTTTAAAAAAGAGAGCACAATCATTTGATGCCATCTGAATGAAATAGAACTAAGAAGAAATTTGTATTAGTGATGATACACTATTCTAGATAGTTTTTATAAATGTTTAAGGAGAAGATAATATAAAAAAGGGTATTCATTTGCTGGCAAGAGATCTACCATCAGCACATCAGAAATAGGGATGTGCTCCCAGTCTATTGGGGGAATGGGTGGTAGTGGCCTTCAGAGAAACCTATTAATGTGGCCAGTGGTGTGGCCTGACCTGCAATAAATGAAAAACCTTCTTGGTGTTTCATAGAGAAAATCAGCTATTGGGTGGGGCTTTATTTGTAGCTTTTAAAAAAATTGTATGCAAATAATTTCCGACCTATACATGTATAATACAGCATTTTCAAGAAAAGATATTTTTAACTTAAATCATATCAAAATTCATATGATGATACTGTGAATGTGTGTGAAAGTGTGTGAGACCTTTACAGTTGACTAGAAAATCTGTGATGGTTTGGTTTTTAAAGGCTAAGCAGTTGGTATTAGGCAAGTAAATATTTTAATGAAACTGTAACTCAGGAACAGTTTAAAATATTCGCTTCCCACTTAGATTTCAAGGAGTAAAAAGGGCTGAGTTATCAAGTGTCAAGAATTTACTTGGGTTTGTGACATTTGGTGGTACAACGCCAGATGCCCATAGCAGCGTAATATTGTACTTTGCTAAAAGTAGATGGATGAATTCTCTATTTCTCAGTAGCCATTTCCCCAGAAAGTATAATGTTTATTTTTAGTTAAAATAGTTAATCTTGTTTTACCATACCATATGATAACTCCTTGGTATCATGTGAAGTGCTCCAAATTTGTATTTTCTCATCTCTGAGCTCTTTGCCTGTCTCCATTTCTACATTTTTCTGGGGCCAGAGGCTCATCTCTGACCTTTTTTCATGTATCACCTCCTGATTTTACTTCACTGCTTATCTGCTATGATCTGCAGTGTTATTTTGGACACATTAAGAATTTCAGATGTGGCTCATGTCTATAATCACAGCACTTTAAGGGAGGTCAAGGCAGGTGGATCACCTGAGGTCAGGAGTTCAAGACCAGCTTGGGCAATATGCTGAAACCCTGTCTCTATTAAAAATACAAAAATTAGCTGGGTGTGGTGGTGGGTAACATGTTGAAACCCCGTCTCTACTAAAAATACAAAAATTAGCTGGGTGTGGTGGTAGCCTGTAGTTCCAGCTACTCAGGAGGCTAAGGCAGGAGAATTGCTTGAAGCCAGGAGTTGGAGGTTGTAGTGAGCTGAGATCACTCTACTGCACTCCAGCTGGGCAACAGAGCAAGACTCCATCTTAATAATTCATAGGCAAAGAAACTTTATATAATATTATGAAAGACCATCCTTTCCATTTTGGTTATTGCAGTATTTTAGTTGCAACCTGGCATTAAATTAGAGTTTCAAATGTGATAAAAAGTAGAACGATGGCGTTCTATAATTTTCCTACTGCTCTGCACCAAATTCCAGAGTCTCTGGAGTTTCTATTTCAAATTATTCAGTAGAATGTAAAAGGATTTATTGCTGTCTGCTTAACATATATTTGTTTGGTTGAAAGGATTTTTTCAGAAACTGTAGGAAAACGAAGCAGAACCACCAACTGGGTGAAATAAAGCACAAACACTGGATTAGGATGTGGTGAGTTGTGAACAATCAGGATTCTGGTTATGACTGGGGCCCCTGTCTCATAGGAGCTTAATGCAATGTAAGCCAGGGACACAGTGTCCAAGGCCCATGGCCTGGAGCCCTGGATGCTGGCTGTGGACCTTGGGCAAGTCCCTCATCCTTCCTGTGCCTCACTCTCCTCATCTGCACAATGATGTGATGACACCTGCCATCTCTTTCCAGTCTTGCTTCAAGCATGCAGTGAGATCTGATATGATGAACCAAGAGTAGAAGGTGGTGTGCCATGGTGGGTCCTAGTTGAGCATGCTTCCTGCCTTCTCTTCTCTGACGTCTTCTTCAATTTGGGGACAAATGGGAATAGCAGAAGGAGGGGAGCTCATAGTGTATAATTCTCTACTAAAGTGTGCCTACTGGTGTTACCTTCTAATGTTGAATTGGATTTTCTAAAGCAGCCCCACTTTGTTACTGAAGTTGCTGACTCCTGTGGAAATCCCCCTACTAAGCAGCCTTACAAAATCCAGTCCCCATAGAATAATGACTCCACACAGGCATCAAAAATGGGTTGTCCTCTATTATGTTACAAAGCCTTTTTGGACTATGGAAGATGATTGGGTATTTGGATTGAAATGTGGACAAAGGACCTGGGTGCGGTGGCTCATGGCTATAATCCCAGCACTTTGGGAGGCCAAGGTGGGTGGATCACTTGAAACCAGGAGTTCAAGACCAGCCTGGCCAACATGGTGAAACCCCATCTCTACTTAAAAATACAAATATTAGCTGTGTGTGGTTATGGTGTGTACCTGTAATCCCAGCAACTAGGGAGGTTGAGGCATGAGAATTGCCTGAGCCCAGGAGGTTGCAGTGAGCCAAGATCATGCCACTACACTCCAACCTGGGTGATAGAGTGAGACTCAGTCTCAAAACACCTGTAGTGAAAAATGTGAACAAAGATAGCATGTATATTTTGAGCAAAATACACATTTTATAATAAAATTGTATAAATAAACTTTGTAAAATCGATGGTATAAAATCAGTATTAAGATTATAGGCTATACATTATCTAATTTCATGAAGTAGAAAAAGAAATTCAGCCCTTCTTATGCCTAAACATATTGTAAGAAAGTGTATTATGGCTGCCCTTTTTTCTGCCTCACAAAACAGAGGGCTGTTTCTATAAGGCAGTTTTGTATACGTTCTATTCTTTTGTTTGTTGGTTTGTTTTAAAACAGAGTCTTGCTCTGTGGCCAGGCTGGAGTGCAGTGGCATGATCTCGGCTCACTGCAACCTCTGCCTCCCGGGTTCAAGTGATTCTCCTGATTCAGCCTCCAGAGTAGTAGGGACTACAGGTGTGCGCCACCACGCCCAGCTGATTTTTGTATTTTTAGTAGAGATGGGGTTTCACCATGTTGGCCAGGATGGTCTCAATCTATTGACCTCGTGATCTATCCACCTCGGCTTTCCAAAGTGCTGGGATTACAGGCATGAGCCACCGCATCTGGCCAAGTGCTATTCTTTATTTCAGTTTGAGAGTTGGGGAAAACTGGAGCAAATAATGAGTTTCTTTCTTGCTTAAAAATGTACTTATATGTGTGTCTTAATATATATAAGGTAAATTTCCCTGGAATAAGAGTCTAGAATGTGCTGCTTAATTTTACACATATATGTAGACAATATTATCTGTGAGTGAAAAGTGGAATAATATGTGGATGGGGTCAACTGTTAGGGGGGGGATCAGCCTGTTAGGAGTCCTCTGTGTGAGACATGGTGGTATAATTGTGAAGTTCTCACTGTATGCGGATGTTCACGTGAAAGATAGTACTTTCTTTCTATAAATATCTTTGATTTCCATTTGTATGGAATTCCAATGAACATATATTTGGAAAACAATGTGTCAAAGTTTGTATTTTGTTCATTGATCTAAATGCCTGTGTAACTAATCAGAAATCCAGTTTGTCTCAGATTGGGAATTTTCTTTTAAAGGAAAAAAGAATACAGAAAAGACTACTGGAAGAATCATGTTCAAATGACATTTTACATCAATGTTGCTTCAGTATTTTGGAGTTGACGAGGCGGTTTTCTCCTATCTACAATAGAATGTGCCTGCTGCTTCTCTGTTGCCCACTTTGGGCTTGCAGGAAGTACAACGGGAATAGTTTGAGCCTTTTGCTTGCTTTATAATTTATTCCCTTTACCTGAACAACTGGGTTTGTACCCTGACTCCACCTTAAGTGTGGTAGGTAGGGTCAAGTCACTTTACCTTTCTGGGCATTTTTCTTTAAAACCAATGGGTTAAACTAGATGAGCTCAGAAGTCCCTTCCTGCCCTAACATTCTCTTCTATTTTTATTTTCTTGCGGTTACTGTTAGGGTCAGACATGTGAAATATGAGGGACCATTTAGAGATTTAATGTTATATTTTTGGATTATTAGAGAGTATACACCTAATTTTAGGACCTGTGTCATTTTTAGCGTCCCCACCCCATTTCTATTCCTGCTCCACTTGTCTTTCTTTGTAATCATCTCATTCTTTTCTACTCTTGAAACTCACAACTTTGCAGTCCATGAGTTACTTTGCTACTGTCCCCCTCAAAAACAAATATATTTAAAACACCCTCCTAGAAAAGCCTCCCAATCCCTTCAGCTAAATCTGTAACATTCTTAGAATATTTAAAAATTTTAATTCAGCTAGAGTTATGATCCCCAAACAAGTGCTGACAAAGCTGTCTATCACATAAAGGATGTCTTTTTCACCTTGTAGGTATCATTGTTGCTAAATCACATCAGTACAGGCCTTCGGTGGGGAGACAGCAAGGGGCAGGGGCAGGACTAGGGGATGGGATTAGATAAAATTGTGATTCTATCCTTTCCTTTCGATCAAAAATCCTCGGTTTAAAACAAGGTTCTGGGTCAAGCACAGTGGTTTATGGCTGTAATCCCAGCACTTTGGGAAGCTAAGGCAGGCAGATCGCTTGAGCCCAGGAATTCAAGACCAGCCTGGGCAACATGGCATAACCCTATCTCTACAAAGTACAGAAACAAAAAAATTAGCTAGGTGTGGTGGTGTGCGCCTATAGTCCCAGCTACTCAGGAAGGCTAAGGTGGGAGGATCACTTGAGGTCAGGAAGGTCAAAGCTGTCGTGAGCTGTGATGGCATCATTGCACTCCAATGTGGGCAACAGAGTGACACCTGTCTCAAAAACAAAACGAAACAAAAACCAAGGTTCTGTACTCTTAAGTTGGTATATAAATGAGCTGCACAGTGTCACAGAGATTTCCTACTCAGTATATCACTCTGAAAGAGTTTGCATAAGATTCTCTAGACCTGCAGTATTTAATGTGGTAGTCCATAGCTACATGTCACAAATGACCACTTGAAATGTGGCTTGCCAAATTGAGACTGTGCTGTACACATAAAATATATACCATGTCTTGAAGGATTGGTACCAAAAAAGAATATAAAATATTTTATCAATATTTTATATTGATTACATACTGAAATGACAATATTTTAGATATATTAAGTAAAATAATAATCTGATAAATGTTATAATTATTTTCACTTATTTTTATATTTTTAATGTGGCCACTAAAAAATTTAAAATTAGATATGTGTCTAATGTACTTCTTTTTTTTTTTTGAGACAGAGTCTCGCTCTGTCACCCAGGCTGGGTACAGTGGCACAATCTCGGCTTACTCCAACCTCTGCCTCCCTGAGTTGAAGTGATTCTCCTGCCTCAGCCTCCCAAGTAGCTGGGGTTACAAGCATGCACCACCATACCTGGGCTAATTTTTGTATTTTCAGTGGTGACAGGGTTTCACTATGTAGGCCAGGATGGTCTTGAACTCCTGACATCAAGTTATCCACCCACCGCGGCCTCCCAAAGTGCTGGGATTACAAGTGTGAGCCATCGTGGCTGGCCTGGCTAATGAACTTCTATTGGACATGCTACTCTACATTTACATGGTATGGGGTAGGCAGTGAAATACCATAGATAGGAAAGGTAATTTGGCAAAGCATCCAAATGGACAGAAACAACACAAATATTTTTGCTGGCATCAGGAGCACTGTGTGGCACAGAACACCTCCCAGAAAGCAGAAATTTTTTTTGCCTAAAAACCACTGTATATATAAGACCCCAATTAAAAAACAAAAGCAAATGATCCTGAAACAGTCTTCCCTCAGCTTTGCCTGGGAGCTGCTATCTTTGCACTTATTTTTCTACCATCTTCCAGGTGCCAAGGATATTAGCCACATAAGGGAGCTGAGCATATTCATTTCATTTTAGGCATCATTCTTTTGTGGTTCCCCCAACCCAGGTATTGTTGAATCTGTTCAAAGCTGGATGAAATACTATGCAAGTCTTGCTGCTCTCAGTGTGCTGCTTCTCTCACCCTTGGTGGAGGCTGAGCCTGTTGTCAGCGCCCACCAGCCCAGTAGGTTTTGATGCTGCCTCCTGAAAGAGATTGTATTTGTTTCCTTTTGCACTAGTCACAGTTGTTGTTTAAACTATATCAAATTTTGAGGGGAGAGTATTTGCCTGTGATGGAAAGAGAGATGATATATTGCTTCAAGTGTTTTAAATTAAAAGCTATTCTCGGCCGGGCGTGGTGGCTCACACTTGTAATCCCAACACTTTGGGAGGCCGAGGTGGGTGGATCACGAGGTCAAGAGATCGAGACTATCCTGGTCAACATGGTGAAACCCCGTCTCTACTAAAAATACAAAAAATTAGCTGGGCATGGTGGTGCATGGCTGTAATCCCAGCTACTCGGGAGGCTGAGGCAGGAGAATTGCCTGAACCCAGGAGGCGGAGGTTGCGGTGAACCAAGATCGCACCATTGCACTCTAGCCTGGATAACAAGAGCGAAACTCCATCTCAAAAAAAAAAAAGCTATTCTCACACACACAAAAAAAAAAAGAAAGAAAAAGAAAAGAAAGGGAGCTCAGATCAGAAGGAAATGGTAGTTTTTCCTTTAAGTGAGGTTTCATCCAGACACACTTTCAATACAGGGTACATAAATGGGAGGGGAACTCAGTTAATTAGATATTTACTGTACCTGCATATATGACTAGAACACATTCTTAGACTTCAGTGAGCCTACATGGTAGTCACGGGAGGCACATATTAAATAAGTTCTAGGTCTTTCAAAAGATAGTAACTGTTATCAGATAGGAAGGAAAAATACATGAAACAGGTGACATGCAACAGTCGTAAATAGTTGGATGCCCATCTGGGCATGTGCCGTAGGAGTTCAGAGGAGAAAAGGGCCAGTGGGCCCCAGGATGGTCAAGTGGGCTTCATATTGGGGATGGGGAGGTAGTGGATACTCAGAGAATGTATATTACATTCAGAGAACTAACAAAACTGTGGAGGAGGAGCTGGAAACCTTAGGCTTCAAAGCAAAGTGAAGTCAGGTTAAGGTACCAGTGATATTACATATGGCTGAGATACATTTTGCTCTCACTCTTTTGAAAGCTCAGATTAAGGCAAGCACCAGTATTTGCCAGGCACTGCATTTTGTTGAAGCCACACTATAAAGTTAGACAGTCCTTTCAAGATGGATCCTAAATAGGATGGGAATCTCCAACAAAATAAAGATACGTGCTATGGAGGAAAACAAAGCAGTAAAGAAGTGCAGGGAGTGCTGGGGTGGAGGGAGGTGGTCAATTTTAAGTAGGTTCGTCAGAGAAGAGCTCAAGAAGATGATATTTGAGTTGAACCTGAAGGAGATGAGAGAGCTACCCAAGTGGTTACCTGGAGGAAAGGCATTTTAGGTAGAGGCATGAGCAAGTACAAAGACCCTGAGGTGGGAATGAGCCTGGCATGTTTAAGAAACAGCAAGACGGTCTGTGTGTCTGGAGCAGAGTGGAAAAGAAGGAGAGCAGTAGGAGCTGGGGTGGGAGATGTGATGATGCTAACTGTGTGAGCTGCATAGGCCAAGAAGGCCTTTTAGTCCCCAAGCCATTTCAGGGTTTTGATACAGGAGTGACATGACCTAACTTGTGTTTCAAATGATTACTCCAGTGGCTGCATTTAAAAAACTGCAGGGCTGGAGGGCAAAGGCAGAAGCAAGTTAGGAGGCTGCTACCATTACCCAAACAGGAGCTGATGATGACTTGGATCTGGGTGGGAGCAGTGGAGGTGGTAAGAAGTGCAGACTCTGGATATGTTCTGAAGGGGGAGCCAATAGGACTTGCAAAAAGACTGGATATTGGGTATGAAGGAGAAGTGGTGTTGCTGCTGCTGCTGAGGTTTTTGGCTAGCGCTGAGGACCTTGGCTGGTCCCAGAAAATCCAAGTTCCCAGAACTAGAGTCTCATCCTGGCCCTAAATGCCCTAAACAGAACTCTGCAGAGGCTGGTCTGGGTTATGCTAGCATTTGTGAGAGGGTTCATTTTGCCTCATCATATCCATACTTTATGGGCATTAATTGGGCAATTAACATATTCCTGTTGTTTGCATTAATTCAACTGTAAGATGAAAACATTCTTCTGAGGATTTTTAAGCCTTTTACAATACTAACCTCTTTTCTACTTTATTCAACCTGCCAAAACACATTTCCAATTCTTTCTCATGCCAGGTACGTTCCATGGTGAGTGACTTTGCTGTTTTCCTCACTATCTTCACAATGGTGATTATTGATTTTTTGATTGGAGTTCCATCACCAAAGCTTCAAGTTCCCAGTGTGTTCAAGGTAAACAGATCTCAGAGTGCTTGGTACACTCATGTTAGTTCATACACTCTAATGCCAAGTTAATTTCAAAGGCCCTTTCACATGCTAATCACGAGTTTTGCTGTCCTCTAAATCTGAACCTTACTCCTCATACCTTGTCATTTAGAAAAGCAAACTTCAGACTTGGCTGAGTTCAAGTCAGAAAAGCCAGAGAACAGAAAAATCAAGGTTGTTTAATGAATGAAAAGTATTATTATTATTATTAATACCACTTATTAATATGTTAATATTTAAACAATGGAATGTGCACATTTACATAAATATATTCAGGACACTCTGGAAACATGGGTTTCTGGAACAAGCAACAGCACTTTCATTGAGCATCGGCTGTATAAGGGCACTGGGAAGGATGAAAAAGGTCAAGGACTTGGCCTGAGCCTTCAAGGAGGCGCCCCTTCCTTGGAGGAGGAGAATGAAACTAAGGAGAGCCTTGTCAGGAGTCTAGGACCCCTGGCAGAGTAATCATGACATCTCTTTTGAAGTCATCTCAATCTGATTTTGTTGTTTGTATAACTCTCTCTAATATACAGTATTTTATACTTTATATATTACAAACTATACCTCTCTCTAATATACAGTATTTAATATAACAACCTGTACAAAAAGTAAAACAAATGATCAATCCATGAGGACTCCAAATTGATTTCAGTTTGAGAGCACTGACTAAGTAGACAAAGAAGATAGAAAAGCTGAGCTCAGTTCCATAGATCCCCATAGTGGAGAGGAGAGAAAACCTTCCGTATACTCAGTGACTTAGGAAGGATGATGAAGTAGGAAGATGGGAGAAGTTGGTGAGGAGAAGGCCAAGAGGTATAAAGGCGGTCCCTGACTCATAACTGCTCCCTTCAGTTGTCCCTTTGCTTTCTCTGTTTTCTTTCTACCTGTGAAGTAGGCCTGTCGAAATATCTTCTTCCATATTTTCTGAAAAAATTTAATTTTGTTGAATTTGCTGAAATGCCACCAGTTGGAAGTTTATGGACTAACCAATCCCTCTTGTAAATATAATGCCTTCTAGAATATGGCATTCTCGCCTTTGTGTGAATGAGCACAATCAGTTTTCTCTCTAATACCTAGCTGAGGTCAGCGCTGCAGGAAGAATGGATTTTGTGTAAAAATAGGTAATTTGGGAACATTAAACAGTCCTTGGAAAGATTCCCTAAGGGATAGGCTTAAGATAGCCAGAAGGCACTGAATTTCTGGGACATCTGTGAAGAAGGCCTCTGGGAGGTAGGACAGGGAGAAATGGGAGAATGTCAAAGAAAATACTGCTCATGACAGGCTCCATTTTCAGGAGGAAGAGGAAAAGTTTCCTTCTTCCTTTCCCTCCCTATTGTACCACATGGCACTCAACTCCCAAGACCCAATCTGAAGGCTAGTACTATTATTAGGGGTATAATGTCATTAAGGGTTTATTTAATAAGTTTTTGTGTTGGTCCGAGAACTTAACTACCACTTAGAGCATTGTTAGTAAGAAAACATAGATTCTGTAAACTTTTAGAAGCTAACCCATTCATAATTTTGGACTTGGTTGTGTTATTAGTCTTTGGATCCTAGAGACATGACTAATAAGGAACCAAATCAAATGTAACAGTCTACGCTTTGTTTCTTGAGTTTGGGTCAACTCTGGGCCTGTTGGTATCCCTGGCCTTTTATCCTCTAGCACCACTTGCCAAAACAAGGCAAACTTGTCTTCCTCAGAGTACACTGCAGGGGTGGGGTAAGGATCTAGGTGAGTTTAGATATGTCATGAACACTCCAATAAGATTTATAGACAGTTTTATTACAGGGGCATTAGAGAGGACCCTAGATCAAAGAAACCCCCAACTTTAGCAGTCTTAGACTCCTTTTCAGGTTTCTGATGGCTAGACCCCTGTTTCACTACAGATGGGGAAAGGCCCTTAGAGCAATCTAGTCTAATCTAAGCCCCAAGAGATTCCATGCAGATGGCTCTACTTTGCCTTTATGCTGTAGACACACATTATATGGCTCTGGAGAGAAGTAGTAGGAGAATAGTCTAAGTTATTTATATTTGTCTTTGGAAGTCATTCAGTTCTTTGACAACACATATAGTTGTTAATTATATGTTACTTGGGTTAATGTTGAGATGCAGTTGTTTTTTCTCTACCCAGAGGTTTGGGAAGTAAGTAGAAGGAAGTGCAGGATTAATGAATATTTCACAAGAAATTTGATAATTGGAGATTGACTGTTTCAAAGGGGATTTGGAACTACTACTGAGCAAAAGGGGATTGCTGCCCAATGTGCTAGAGGCCAGTACTATGATACCAGGTTTTTGAGAGAAAAAAAAAAAAGCTTTTTATTTCAAGTTTACTAACAAGGAGATAGGAATTCAGCTCAAATCTGTCTGCCTGCACTGGCTTTACTGAAATAATTAGAATAGGTTTTGGGGGTGGATTCTGGGATAGAAGATGATTGGTAGAAGGAAAGGGAGGTCTGAAAAGTCTGTAGTCATTCATATTTATCTCTTCATGCTACCTCTGGTCCCATGTGCCAAAGGGGTACACAAGTTGTTTCTTTTCTTATCTACCATCCTGTAAAACCAAGAATTTCTGTTAGTCATTGGTGTCTTTAACTCTTTGGGGAATGGTTTCAGAACAAGGTCACAGATTTTCTAAGGAGTTGCTGTATTTTATGCCTTTTTTTTTTTTTTTAAAGGATCCTCTCTCAAGAATAAAAAAGAAATATGGATATTGTGATTAAGTTTAATATGTTTTACTCTAATGACTATAGTTAACTTAAAATATAAAAATAGTATCTTTTCCCCCTTAGCCAACAAGGGATGATCGAGGATGGATTATTAATCCCATTGGCCCCAATCCCTGGTGGACTGTGATAGCTGCAATTATCCCAGCTCTTCTCTGCACTATCTTGATATTCATGGATCAGCAGATCACAGCCGTCATTATTAACAGAAAGGAACATAAGCTCAAGGTAAAAAGAGGCTCTGACCTAGAAGACTGCTATGGCAACTTGTTACCTTTTTTTTTTTTTTTTTTTTAGGGTAAGGTCATCTAGATCAGAAACTGTAGAATCTGGATAAAAACACTCATAGAAGGGGTTCATAAGGGGTTTCCATTCCCTCCATTAATAACCAAGATTGCTTTGGAGATGAGACTAGAGTGGAGCATGGCGGTATGGTATCAAAGAAATGTGGACTTCATTATTCTCCTCTCACATCTGTGGAGAAGGTGATTGGGTAGAATTCCTAGTGGTCCCTATATAACTATATGCTTTGGGTCAAACAACTGTACCGCTTGTCTTCCTGGGGTTCCTTCAGGTGGGGGCCTGGGCCACTGTTTCCTAGAGGCAGATATTCTTTCATTGATATCTGTTACTATAGTTTCCAGATGGAAACTCGAACCCTAGGATCCTAGGAGGGTAGCAGAGCAGGCAAGCAACGTCCAAGTCTGTCAAGCATCTGGGAGTATGTGGTAGAAAGCCAATAAGGACATATATCTCCAATTTCTATAGTTTCTACCATCTAGAATGGTCAAGATATGGCATGATCTTTGGTTACTCTTCCAGAGAAGAATGGATCCTTGAATGTGTAAGACAGAGTAAGCTGGAGACACTTGGAAAAAGAATGAATATTGGCATATATAGGACAGGCTAAGATTCCCCTTTTTCTTCTTTGTTTCCTCCTAACAAGGAGGGGCTACAAGACTCCTCTTGAATCCCTGAGCCCTTCCTTCTTATCTATACATCCCTTCCTGCTTTGGGCCTGAGACCCCTAACTTGCTGTTCTGTGCCCCACTACAGCTAGCCTACCGATGGTGACAGAGACTCTGTTTCCCCACAGAAAGGCTGTGGCTACCACCTGGACCTACTGATGGTGGCAATCATGCTGGGTGTCTGCTCCATCATGGGCCTGCCTTGGTTTGTAGCTGCAACCGTCTTGTCCATCACACATGTGAACAGCCTCAAGCTAGAATCTGAATGCTCTGCTCCTGGAGAACAGCCCAAGTTCCTAGGCATCCGAGAACAGAGAGTGACAGGCCTTATGATCTTTGTGCTGATGGGCTGCTCAGTCTTCATGACGGCTATCTTAAAGGTAATCATCTCTTCACACATTCAGCAAATATCAAAGGCCTGATATGTGCCAGGAATCCTGCCAGGTGCTGGAAATACAGTGGTGCCAAACAGATATACATGCCAATCTCTGCCCTGAAATAGTTTTTTCTAGAGGGGTAAGATGGATAACATTTAGTTAAGAAAATTAGTTAAGAAAACAAACATGATAACTACAGAATGTGGTAAGTGATATAAAGGAAATACATAGTGCTTTCTGGTGCTAAAGAGAATGGAGAGGGATCTCTTTTAGTTAGGATGGTCAGAAAAGGCCTCTCTGAGGAGATGCTATTTAAGGTGAGGTGGAGCCAGCTATGCTATAGATGGTGGGAGGTAGCACGGAGGGCGGGGAGAAAAGCGGTCTAGTCAGTCCTTGTGGTGGGAAAGAGTAATATATGTTCTACGAAATATCAGGGCCACATGGCTCATGGGTATTGAATCAAGGCAAGAGCACAGTGCGATGAGAAGGAAAGAGGGGGAGGGACAGATCATGTGGGGCCTTGTCGACAGTGGGCAAGGTAATCTTTGAAGGGTTTTAACAGGAGAGGGACATGATCCAGCTAGTTTAAAAAGATCACTCTGGCTGATGTCTAGGGCAGAATAGAAGCAGACAGACCAGTGAGGCTGTTGCAGGTGACAGATGATGGTGGCTTGAATGAGGAAGCTGGTAGCAGGGACAGATAAAAAGGCATGGCCTCTGTATAGCTTGAAGGCAGACTCAAAGGTCTTAATGGTTGACTGGATGTGGAATGGGGTGACATATTTTTCTATTTTCGAAGAAAATAGAAAATAGAAAAATCGAAGAAGCCTATTAGGTTTCTGACTTGACCATCTGGTGAAGAGTGTGGCATTTATAATATGGAAAAGATTGTATGATTTTTGTGAGGGTTGGGACTGTGATCAGATTTGGAATGAGATGTCTGGTCATCTAAGTGAAGAGGCTAGAGGAGGGTTCCAGATTAAAATATAAATTTGGGAGTCAGCAGCACATAGGTGGTATTGAAAGTGAAGGGAATCGGTGAGAGAACTCCAAGAAAGTAGACATAAAAGAGAAGTGGGACGTAAGAGAAGAGCAGAGTTAGAGGTTAGGTAGAGGAAGAGATAGAACTGAGTCTCAGAAGGAGCTGCCAGAGAGGTAGGAGGAAAACTAGGAGGGTGTGGTATCAGGGAAGCCAAGTAAGGAAAGTGTTTCAAGAAAGAGGAATTGGTTAGACACAACTAGGAAGATGAAGACTAAGCCAAGGCCATTGGGTTTAGCAACATTGGAGGCCTCAGGTCATTTGACAAGAGCAGAGTCAGTGGATTGCATTAGTTTCTGCTGCCTGTAGGTGATTTAGAAGTAGAAGCAAAAGCAGAAGCTGACAGTGATAACAATTATTTTGTTCTGAAACGAACATGTAAGTTAAATCACAGGCCTCCATGTCTGGCTCTTCCTCCATCCCTATCTGGGAATGGGCAGGCAGACAGGCAGACAGACACACATACCCCTCTTTAACAGAAATGGTGCCTTTTAAATCTTCCATAATCTCAAAAATCCTCCAAATCCTTAGGGATTTAGTGTGTTTCAACCTGGAAACTATGTTACTGTCCAGTGACTTGAGGCAGGAGTTGGGGGTACCTTACCAGAGAAGGAATTCAGTGGAACTATAGGGTAGAAATCCAATTATAGGTGGCTAAAGAGTGAGTAGGAGATAAGGAAGTAAAGAGTACAAGTGTAGGCAAATCTTTCAAGAGGTTTTTCTGCTAAGCAGAATAGAAAAATGGCAGTGGCTAGTATGAGAAGTGGGGCTAAAAGAGGTTTTTATTTTTTATTTCTTTGGTACAGATAGAGGATTCTTTGAAGATTAAAAAAATGTTTTGTGGGTGGAAGGCCTGCATCTGGGAGATTGGGGTGAGAAGGAAACTCTACAGCTGTATTACCAGGCACCAACCATTCTGGAGCACTGCCTTGTCTCCCTTGCCTCCTCTTTCCTTCTTTTTGGCAAACCTTCAACCACCCCAGCCTATACCACAAATGCCCTTCAAGAGTGAGAACTGAGGGGATGGGAAGGATTTCTGAACCATCTTCCTATCCCCTCACTTTCCACTCAACCTTACCACCCACCCCTCCTCACGCCCCTTTCCCCCTCATATTCCCAGTCCCCAGCCTAACTCCCACTCCCACCTGGTCAAGGCACCATCTGGAAGAGCCCAAACGTTGCTGCTTCTCCACGATAGAACCCGGAAGGTGTGGCAGTGGCCATCACCGGGCCTTTCTCTAACTGCTTCAGGACAGTTCTCTTAGGACAACTATTCAGTAGTTCCACAGACAGCATCCAGTTGGGATGTCTAGTCATTCTACAGCTGGAACATAAAATCCAATGGGGGATTTTCTAGGACAACTATTCAGTAGTTCCACAGACAGCATCCAGTTGGGATGTCTAGTCATTCTACAGCTGGAACATAAAATCCAATGGGGGATTTTCTAATTCTTTCTTTTTTTAAAATTTTACTTTAAGTTCTGGGATACATGTGCAGAATGTGCAGGTTTGTTACATAGGTATATATGTGCCCTGGTGGTTTGCTGCACCCATCAACCCATCATCTGGGTTTTAAGACCTGCATGCATTAGGTATTTGTCCTAATGCTCCCCCTCCCCTTGCCCCCCACCCCAAACAAGCCCGGTTTGTGATATTCCCCGCCCTGTGTTCATGTGTTCTCATTGTTCAGCTCCCACTTATGAGTAAGAACATGCGGTATTTGGTTTTCTGTTCCTGTGTTAGTTTGCTGAGGGATTTTCTAATTCTAAGAAATAGGTTTGGGAATATTCTTTAGCGCTAGAATAGAAACAAGTCCAATTTAGTTTTCAGCTCTTAGACTTTCCTTGCCTTGATTCTCTAGGCCCAATTTCCCTACCTCAGAGTCAATCTGAAAATTATTAAGGTTGACAGACATGATGTGATCGGAAAGTCATACTCAAATACTGTGTGGATCTTCAAGTGCAATATAATTATGTTGGTGTTTATCCCCAAACCTTCCCTCTCTGATAAGATACCTCCCCACTCTTGCCCTCAAGCCACTGGTCAGTAAAAAAGGAAACTTTTTTGGTTCACGCTAAAATACATCAAATCCTTGAGGAGATGATTGTGAGATCAGAAGATATAAAAGGCATTATTTCTATAAGAAAGGGGTGTGTCTATGTGTGTGTTTGTGTGTATGTGTATGTGTATGTGTGCCGATCCCCATGGAGGAGGAAGAGCCAGACAGCTGAGATGGGAGGCCTGTGATTTAACTTACATGTAATCATTTCATTTCAGAACAAAATGATTTTTATCATTGTCGGCTTCTGCTTTTGCTTCTACTCCTAAATCACTCACAGGCAGCAGAAACTAATGCAATGTTTCTGCAGGTATTTTGTGACTTTGTTTCATTCCTGGAGGTTTAAAAGTTTATATAGTTTTCAGTGTACTATGACACCAAATTTAATTTCTGGTCTTTCTTGTCTTTTTATCTTCAGTTTATTCCAATGCCAGTACTCTATGGAGTTTTCCTCTACATGGGAGTTTCTTCACTACAGGGAATTCAGGTATTGTGTGGTTCAGTCAAGGTAGTTTCTTCTCACTGCAGGTTCACATATCCTGTCCCAGGAGGGACAGCTCCCCAAGAGAAGCACAACTAGTTCTTGATAAAATTATTTCCTGGACTTGCCACTTAGGCTATTTTAGACACTTATTTGAATACAGGGAAGACAACAGTCATGTTGGCAGGAGAGTACAGAACCTTCCAGGGTGTCTTGGCTTGAAGTCATGGCTCCAGTCATTCATTAATTATTTAACAGACAATTTTTTGGCATGTATTAAATATTAGGTGCTTTGCCAGGTACTAGTAAGCTTGGATCTGAAAGGCTGATCAAGAACCAAATTGGCTTTCACTCATGGACAGATGTAGGTTAGTGCCAGGCTAAAGTGTAAAAATGAGGTGTTTAACTTTGGGGGTACATTAGCAGAAGAGATGGGGGAATAATGGGAGTTGCTCCTGGTAAGCAGATGTCACTTCCTGTTATACTCTGCATTTTTGCATCTATCAACTCATTGCGCTAAGTCTTTCAAACAGAAAAATGAGGAGCTTGCCATTGATCCCTTAGGTACTCCAGACAATAAATTAGGCTGATTACTCTTTGTTCGAATGGCATGTCCAATGGCCATTTTTATATACTGAGTTCTAATATGAACTTGGGCAGATTATTTAATCTCTGGTTCTCTTTTTTTCCTTTTTGTAAGGATGATTTTTTTTTGTATCTAGGATGTTAAGAAGTTTCACTTTATCTCTTCACTATAAATAATCAATGAATATCTCCAAACTCCTAAAAGAACAAGTAAGAGATTTGGTTTTGATAATAAGCAAAAAGATGTAATTGGCTTATTTTGTTTTCAACAGTCCCTGAGAAAGAGCTCTCTTAGGAGCCACAGAGTGGGATAGGAGAAAAAAGTTTGACCCTAGAATTAGAAAAGATGGATTCAAATCTTGACTTTGCCGCTTACTAACCTTGGCTAAATTGCCTGGTCTTTTAAAGTCTCAGATTCCATTTTTGTCCAGTGGAAATGGTGTGACCTGCCTTTCATAGCAGGTGATGTAAGAGACATGAATGGGTCTAACAAGGCTTCTGACCCAGAGACTCCTCCTGAAAATAAATGCCAGTTCCTTCCTTTCAGTTCTTTGATCGTCTAAAGCTCTTTGGGATGCCCGCAAAGCACCAGCCAGATTTTATCTACCTGAGGCATGTGCCACTGCGCAAAGTGCACCTCTTCACCCTCATTCAGCTGACCTGTCTCGTCCTGCTCTGGGTCATCAAGGCCTCTCCAGCAGCCATTGTTTTCCCAATGATGGTAAGGTGGTTTTTAAAAAATAAATTATTATCATTGTTAATTTTTAAATTGTGGTAAAATGTTCTAACTATAAAATGTACCATTTTTAAGTGTAGAGTTGAGTGGCATTAAGTACCTTCACATTGCTATGGAGCCATTACCACCCTTTAGCTCCGGACCTTTTTACATCTTGCAAAGCTGAAACTCTGCACCTATTAAACACTAAATCCCCATTCTCCCCTGTTCCCAGCCTCTGGCAACCACCATTCTACTTTCTGTCTCTGTGTATTTGATTATTCTAGGCACATGATATAAGTGAATCACAGAATTTGTCCTTTTGTGACTGGCTAACTTCATTTAGCTTAATGTCTTCGAGCTTCATCCATGTTGTAACATGTGTCAGAATTTCCTTCCTTTTTAAGATTGAATAGTATTCCACTGTATGCAGATACCACATTTTGTTTATCCATTCACCTGTTGATGTGCACTTGAGTTGCTTCTCCCTTTTGGATAGTGTGAGTAATACTGCTGCAAATATGGGTGTACAAATATCTGTTTGTGTCTCTGTTTTCAATTCTTTGGGGTAAATACCAGGAGTGGAATTGCTGGGTCATATGGAAATTGTATCTTTAATTTTTTTCTAATCCTCTAGATCCACACCCTCCTGGTGGGTTTCTCAATTTTGTCAGAATACATACAAGGCTTTGCATTTGTGTGTTATGTTCATGGGTTAAAAAATAGCAAATTACTGGGAACTCATAGAAGCGATCCTATCAATTCCAGATATGTTAGGAAACTAGTCACTATTATTAGAGAGAAATGTACTTGAGTTTAAGAAGCCTGGATGGCCTCATTTCTTGTCCAGTCACCAAGGATAGCTGATGAACACCAGTCCACCCAGACAGGGTTAATTCTTTGTTTTCCTTTGGCTAAAATGGCCCTCATGAGAAAGTGGAGCAGCGGTTGGGATGCCCTGGACCTGCCCTTACTGGGGAAATCAGCTGTCAGATTTTAGGCAAGTCACTTTCTCTCTCTGGGCCTCAGTTTCCTCATTTATAAAGTGAGTGTCAAGCCAGGCCAGGGAGCAGAGACAAAAACCCCTAGAGATACATGATGCAGGCCCAAAGCAAGGATGTGCATAGGGGAATGAATAGGCAAAGGATCAGAGGGAATAAAGATGATCCTCTAAGAACCCATCATCCCACTGTGAGGCATGCCTGGGCTGGCTGTGGCTGGTCCCACCATGGCCCAGTGCCTGAAGAGGCTTTCTACCCCCCTGCTGTCCTGTAGCCTTGCTGCTGACCCCTAACCATCTGAAGATGATGAGCTCCTCTTTTCAATCATGAAATCCAGATAGCTGCTCTCTAAGTTGTAGAGCTATTATGATGATAGGTAAAATACTGTATGTATTGTACCTGGCACAAAGAAAGCATTCAATAAATGGTGACTCTTATGATTATTATGAGTTTGATTTTGCTTGAACTGTCCTAGTCTGCCATGAAAATAAGGCTTTGCTTTTAAGTCTGGGAAGGAAATTAGTCCCTTTCATTCACTTTCTTTCTTGATTTTTTCTTCAGGTTTTGGCCTTGGTTTTTGTCAGGAAAGTCATGGATCTCTGTTTCTCTAAGCGAGAGCTGAGCTGGTTAGATGATCTCATGCCTGAAAGCAAAAAGAAGAAGTTGGATGATGCTAAAAAGAAGGCCAAGGAGGAAGAGGTCGGAGTCCTTGCACCAACTGTATACCTGGGGCCCTCAAATTACAGACTATAGGAAGGGTCACATGAAAAGCCAGCATGTCTGAAATCTCAAGGGTTATATTTAGGAGCTGGGAAGATTACTCTAAAGATGTTCTCAGCTAAGAATGGATTAGTGATTCTTGCTCCTGTCTGTACTTCCTTTTTTGGGTTTGACAACCAGTTATTTTTTCCTTTGTCTACAACCAACTCATCGGGTTCATACCTAGAATGTGAATATATGATATGCAGATTCATGGCTTATTAGCAGATTCAGTGGCTCCCATTCTTTCAAAAGGTCTAATTTGACAAATATATAAAACCCATTATTTCCTAGAATGTTTGTAATGTATCTAAATGCAAATGGTGCTGTGGTTGGCACCATGCAAAGATAACTTGCATAGGACTTTCTTTTTTCATTTCCCTCAGCACTTGGCATCTTGTCAATGGACCCTCAATAAATGGCCTATATATACAAAGAAAGAAAATGTAGCAAAATGAAAATACCAGACCAAGAAATGAGTGAGCTGGGAAGTGTTTCCAAATACAGTTAGTGCCTAAAATAGTGTCCTTTGAAAAAACTTTTTAAAAGACTTTTTGTAGGCCAGGAACAGTGGCTTATCCCTGTAATTCCAGGGCTTTGGGAGTCGAGGCAGGAGGATCACTTGAGGCCAGGAGTTTGAGACCAGCCTGGGCAACATAATGAGACCCTGTCTCTACAGAAAAAAAATCAAAAGAATTAGTTGGATGTGGCGGCATAGACCTGTAGTCAGCTACTTGGGAAGCTGAGGTGGAAGGTTACCTTGAGCCCAGGAGGTCGAGGCTGCAGTGAGCAGTGAGCATGCCACTGCACTTCAGCCTAGGCTGAGTGAGAGCCTATCTTGAGAAAAAAAGAAAGACTTATTTCCCCGTAATATGTTGAACTTTAAAAACCTTGTATTTCTAAATAAGCTTCAACAATTGTAAAATATAAAATCAATGGAAGAAAACTTTAAAGAGAATATTGATAGAATTCATTATGGAAAATGTGATGCTTTCAGGCATCCAAAGCTCTGTACACAAAATTTTAAAATAACAGATAAGTTGAGACGTGCTAATATCATTACTATTCAAATAATTCTTATAAATTAATAACAGTAATATGAATTTGAAATGAGCAATGGACATATATAATTTACGAAAGAAGAAATACAAATAGCCAGTTGCCTTATGACAAAAATGTCATTCTTACTAATAATCAAAGAAATGATTGTGCAGCATCTGGATTTTATGAAATGAAAATCAGTATTAAAAAATAAAAAAGTGATTGCTTCTTGGCCTTTTAGCTAAGATCAAGTGTAAAAAATAAAAAAAAATGAAAATTTAAACACGGAGAATACACTTTTTAACTTGTCGAATTGACAAAGGTTTTTAAAAGATAAAAGCAAGCGTTGTCAAGACTGTAATTCAAATGGGCTTCTCATACACTAAAAATGGTAATAAAAGTTGCATATATCTCTTTAGAGGGCATTTTAACCATAGAGTCTTAAAAATGTATATGCCCTTTGGCCCAGTAACTCTAACATTTAAATTTATCCTGAGGATATAATTAGCAATGTAGACACAATATTTAAATTGTGGTGGCATAAAGAAAAAAGAAAAATTAGAGTAAATATTTTCCAATAGAATATTGTACAACAGTTTAAAAATAAAATTAAAAAAAATTCTTAATGACATGTGCTGTAATCCCAGCTACTCTGGAGGCTGAGGTGGGAGGATCGCTTGAATCTGGAGGCTGAGGTGGGAGGATCGCTTGAATCTGGAAGCTGGAGATTACAGTGAGCTGAGATCACACCAGTGCACTCCAGCCTGGGCAACAGAGACAGATCCTGTCTCAAAAAAAAAGAGGCTGGATATGGTGGGTTACACCTGTAATCCCAGCACTTTGTGAGGCCAAGGCAGGCCGATCACCTGAGGTCAGGAGTTTGAGACCTGGACAACATGGTGAAACCCCGTCTCTACTAAAAATACAAAAAGATTAGCCAGGCATGTTGGTGCATGCCTCCCAGCTACTCAGGAGGCGGAGACAGGAGAATCACTTGAACCCGGGAGGCGGTATTTGTAGTGAGCCAAGATCACTCCACTGTACTCCTGCCTGGGTGACAGAGCAAGACTTGGTCTCAGAAAAAAGAAACAAAGAAAAGATATGTGGATATGTTTCTGATATTTTATGTGAAAAACATAGAGAATATAAAATGGAGAATACAGAAAGAATGTCAATCTCACTTTCACTAAAACATATAAACATATCATACACACACACACATACATGCATGTATGCATGCACACCCACCCCCCACGCACACCCAAAAAAGATTTGAAGAAAATAGACCAAAATGTTTATTGTGGTTCTCTATATCTTTCTAGGCAGTAAGATTATGCATTTTTTGATTAATTTCCTTCTTTCTTCCATATTTATTGAATCCTTAGTCTGTTGTCACTGTACCAGACACAGTAGTATACAGGACAGCGAGAGTCCCTGACCGACCCCATGGAGCTTACATTCTCATGGAGGAGACACCATAAACAAAGAAAGAAATATATATTTGTTTTCTTGGTTATAGTGCTATACTTTTACATATATATTATGTAAAATTTTAGGTAGTGATATGTTTTAAGAAGGTAGGAGTGAGGGAGTTACTTTGTTTAGGATGATTAGAAATGACACTTCTGAGGAGACATCTGAGCAGAGACCTGAATAAAGTGAGAAGCAAATCATGAGACTATCTGAGAGTAAGAACATTCCAGGCCAGGAGTACAGAAAACACAAAGGTCTTGAAGGGAAGAATGAGCTTGGTATGTTTGAGGAAAACCAAGAAATCTAGTAACACTGGAATGGACAGAGTGGTAGCAGGGAGACCAGCTAGGAGGCTGGCAGCAGCTCAAGCAAAAGGGGAGGGTGGCTTAGGCTAAGGAGAGGTGCTGAAAGTGGCTGAATTGGGTACTTGTTTGAAGATAGAGCTGACGATTTTGCTAATGATGGTGGGCATGAGTGAAAGAGGAATCAAGTATGACTCTTAGATTTTTGGGCTGGACAATTGAATGAATAATTGTGCTATTTATTAAGATGAGGAAGACCAAGGAGAACAGCAGGTTTAGGAGGAAAATCAAGAGATCTCCTTTGGATGTTAAGTTCGAGGTGGCTGGTAGACATTACATTCCTTATTTTCCAAAATTCTTGAAGTAAGCACGTATTTGTTAACACCTGTGTTACTTTATAAAATTATTTTAAAAGCTAAAAGAAAAGAAAAAGATGAAGACTTGTCCCCCAGAATTTATCCACCTCATATCCAACATCTATGTTCATTTCTTTGTTATTTTCATTTTTTTGACATAGTTTTCATATAACTATGATAATTATATAATTGTGAGTTTATATCTATATATATGGCACATATATATTCTGATTTTCCCCCTCAACCTGATTTCATAAGACACTTTCATGTTTCTATTTGTCTATATCATGATCATGTTTTTTAGATGGATGTATAAATGTCCTATAGTATTATCTCATATTTAATTTCAATATTTTTGTTAAAATTTTTAACTGTTTTAGGTTTTATTATTAATTATATTACTTTAAACATCTTTGTACAGATAGCTTTTTCTCTGTAATTATTTTCTTCAAATTAGTTGGATTATTTTCTAAGCAAACATTTTATTACGGATTTCTAAAAAAAGTTATTTTAGATTCAGGGCCTGTGCAGGTTTGTTACATGGGTATATTGAGTTATGCTGAGCTTTGGGCTTCTGATGATCCTGTCACCCAAGTAGTGAACATCGTACCTGAAAACCCTTCCCCTGTCTTCCCCGTTTGGAAATCCCCATTGCTTTTTGCTCTCATCTTTGTGTCCATGTATACCCAATGTTTAGCTCCCCCTTACAAATGAGAACATGCATTATTTGGTTTTCTGTTCCCACATCAGTTCACTTGGGGTAATGGCCTCCAGCTGCATCCACGTTGCTGCAAAGGACATGATTTTGTTCTCTTTATGGCTGTGTAGTATTCCATGGTGTATATGTACTGCAGTTTCTTTATTCAGTCCACCATTGATGGGTACCTGGGTTGATTCTATTTATTTGCTGTTGTTAATAGTGCTGTAATAAATACATGAGTGCAGATGTCTTTCTGATAGAACAATTTATTTTCTTTTGGGCATATACCAAGTACTGGGATTGCTGTGTCTAACACTAGTTCTATTTTTAGTTCTTTGAGAAATCTCCAAACTGCTTTCCACAGGGCTGAACTAATTTGCATTCCCACCAACAGTGTAGAAGTGCTCCTTTTTCTCTATGACCATGCCAATGTCTGTTATTTTTTGACTTTTTAATAATAGTCATTCTGACTGATGTGAGATGGAGTCTCTGTGGTTTTGATTTGCATCTCTGATGATGAATGATGTTGAGCATTTTTTCGTATGGGCCACGTGTATGTCTTCTTTTAAGAAGTGTCTATTCATATCCTTTGCCCTTTCACTTCTATGTTTTAATAACACCCAGGCTGAGTCCAACAAAGAACGCAATCCCAACTACAATAGCCACAAAGAAAATGAAATACCTAGGAATACACCTAATCAAGAATGTGAACGATCTCTACAAGGATAACTATAAAACATTGCTGAAAGAAATCAGAGATAATTCTCTGAAAAAGAAATCATCTCTGATTTCTCTCAGCAGTGTGTTGTTTGTTCATTTGTTTTGAGATGGAGTCTTGCTCTGTTGCCCAGGCTGGAGCGCAGTGGTGTGATCTCAGTTCACTGCAACCTCCTGCTTCTGGGTTTGAGCGATCTTCCTGCCTCAGTCTCCTGAGTAGCTGGGATTACAGTGCTTTCCATCATGCCTGGGTAATTTTTGTATTTTTAGTAGAGACGAGATTTTGCCATGTTGACTAGGCTGGTCTCGAACTCCTGACCTGAAGTAATTGATCTGCCTGCCTTGGCCTCCGAAAGTGCTGGGGTTAAGGCATGAGCCACTGTGCCAGACCTTTTTTTTTTGAGACACTGTCTCGCTGTGTCACCCAGAGGCTGGAGTATAGTAGCATGCTCTTAGTTCACTGCAGCCTCCGCCTCCTGGGTTCAGATGATTCTCCTGCTTCAGCCTCCTGAGTAGCCGGGACTACAGATGTGTACCACCATGCCAGGATAATTTATGTATTCTTAGTAGAGATGGGGTTTCACCATATTGGCCAGGCTGGTCTCGAACTCCTGACCTCGTGATCTGCCTGCCTCAGCTTCCCAAAGTGCTGGGATTACAGGTTTGGGCCACCGCACCCGGCCAGCCTGACCTCTTTCAGCAGTGTTTTGTAGTTCTCTTTGTAGAGATCTTTTACCTTATGGATTATTTTAAACCTACAGAAGTAGAAAGAAAAGACTTATTGTTAATAATTTGGTTATTTGGGTTAGCATCCAAAGAAGAGCCATATATTGCAATTGGTTGATATCTTTCTTAAATCTTTTTAGGTGTTCCCTTTCCATTTTTTTTTTAATTGAAGAAACCTCTAGGACTTCTCACCATTTAGATTTTGCTAAATATGTTCCTTCCCTTGGTGTCATTCAAAATGTTCTTCTGTCCTCTATATTTGTAGTAAATTGGTCATTAGATCGAGAGGTTTATCAGATTGACTTTTTTTAAAAATACTATTCCACATGTATAAATATCTGGTTGTCTCTCATTTTGTGATAACTCAAATCTATGAAAGAAACTAATTATATTCTTCATAATAAATGTGAAATGAAATTAGGTAGAAACTGTGGTGGTAGAAGAATGGGCTGGTGAACTTACGGTCTTACTTGGTCCAAGATATAATGATATTTCTTTTTCTTCCAGGAGGCTGAGAAAATGTTAGAAATTGGGGGAGACAAGTTCCCCTTAGAGAGCAGGAAGTTATTAAGTAGTCCTGGAAAGAACAACAGTTGCAGGTAAAACTTTCAAACACCAAGGAGTTTACTTTTTTGGTTATTCTATAAGTGTTCTTACAGAACACTGGCTTTGTGGTAGTGGCGATGTCACAAATGCAGCTCTAGCATAAAGGGCTAAACATTGAGCCTCCCAGTTCCACCCTCTGAAAATACCTTTTCCATCTCATTGTTTATTGAATACCTGCTATATACCAGATACTATATCAGGTTCTGGGAATCACAAGGAGAAGAGAGGTAAGGAAACCAATGTACTGAGTGCCTCCTTTGTGCTGGGATTGTGCTAGAAGGTTTACTTATGTTTTGTCAGTTAATTGTACTGATATGAATATCACTACCCTCATTTGTACAAGTGAAGAAACTAAGTCTTAGAGGGTTTTAGGTAATTTTATCCAAAGTTATAATGATGCTGAGTAGAAAGATTTGGATTCAAACCCCATGGTCCTTCTTCTATTCCTTAAACCAGTGCTCGTTTGCCTTTCTTTGCCACCTTCCAAAGATGAAAAGGATGTGGTCTTTATTTCCAGAGAGTTCTCAGCCTAGTGGGCATGAAATTCCAATGTGTGGGCAAGCTTTTGGGGATAGGCAGAAATAGTCAATGTTAGCTTGGCTTGTGGCATCTATAGTCCTGGGAGCAAGGAGGAATTGAACTGGGATCATGAAAATTCCTTACTTCTGCCAATGATTTTAGCCACTTCCTCTATCAAACCTATTCATCATCACAAATGACAGGAAGCTTAATTGGTGCATTTGTAGTTTTATTCCTGGCGTCTTGTTTCTGAGTTGGAAGAAGTATACAAAGGCTGAAAAGTCTAGCGGTCAAGAAGGGGCAGAGAAGGAAGAGAGCAGGATATCTGGGTCATTCAGATCCTGAAAAATTTACTGCTGAATCATTGAGTTGGTTGTGGCTTATACTGTGGGGGAAATTAGGACAGCCTTTTTCTTAATAATAGTCTTGGTTCTTAATAAACTTTCTACAGTTTGTTTTGAAAGGAGCCATGAGATTTGAATTATCTGGTGGCAAAGTAGGAACAATGTTTCCTTTTTAACAGGATGCTGCCTCTTCTTTTGTCATTTTAGAAGGAGATAATCTGGCTTGCAGAAAACGTCAAACTACTCTGTCTCTAGGAAACCAAGAGCTGGGTTCAAGGTCTTGATTCTCTACTTGCTGTTGTTTGACGCTGTTGTTTGACCTTGGATAGTCACTTAGCTCCAAGAGCTTTCGTTTCTGCACCTTCAAAATGAGGATGTTAATAAACTCTGTTGCTGTGATAGTTAAGATATTAGGAAAGTCCTTTGTGAACTACGAATAGAAGAGATTTGGCTGTGTATATGGGAAAATGAATGAAAAGTGCCTGGCACACAGCAAGTGCTCAGTAAGTGGTAGTTCCTGATGCTTCACTATTGATAACGTAGCATTGTCATCAGCATCTCCAATGAGGCCTTTCGAAGGAGTGCACAACTGGGGATAGGATTGGCTGCCACCTGGCACACCAGCCCAGCCTTCAGCACCACCTCATGGGCCACCTTGCCTCTTCCCATTCCGACCTCAGTGGCTGCAGAAGAAAGATCAGACTCCATCTTGTTCCCAGAGTTCCTGAGAGCTGTTAGCTGGATGGTCTCAAACCCCATCTTTTCCCTTCTGGTGGGACAGTGATCATTATAGACTGTGCTATGTATTTTACTTGTATGTCTGACATTCACTGTCCTAATCATTGATTTCAGATGTGACCCGTCTGAGATTAATATATCTGATGAAATGCCTAAAACCACAGTCTGGAAAGCTCTCAGTATGAATTCTGGAAATGCAAAGGAAAAGAGGTAAAGACAACTGTAACATCTGATTTTTATTTATTTCTGGCTTTTGACAATGGCAATATTGAAGATAAAATGTGTTTTAGTTGTAAAATGGAATTTGTCTCATAAATAGCACTTCCAGGAATTGCCACTAATCCCATAAGAATACCTATAAGCCAGTTGGGCATGGTGGCTCACACCTGTAATCCCAGCACTTTGGGAGGCCAAGACGGGCGGATCATGAGATCAAGAGATCGAGACCATCCTGGCCAACATGGTGAAACCCTGTCTGTACTAAAAATACAAAAATTAGCTGGGCACGGTGGCAGGCATCTGTAGTTCCAGCTACTTGGGAGGCTGAGGCAGGAGAATCGCTTGAACCTGGGAGGTGGAGGATGTAGTGAGCTGACATCGCACCACTGCACTTCAGCCTGGCAAAGAGTGAGATTCCATCTCAAAACAAACAAACAAACAAACAACAACAAAAACAGCTACAAGCCTTAAAAAAGTAAAAATGTTTTCTAAATATTTGGTCACGGTGTTTTTTTAAGCAGCCTGTTTATGCAAGTCCAAAATCAGGATAGGATTATTTTGGCATATAAATTTGCTTTGCCTGTTGATTTCCTTTAATCTTCTTTCTAGTCTCATTTCAGAATCTAAAGGGCATGTCTCTGGTTACTGCAACCAACCACACAAACAAGAAAATGGCTAAAATATTCCGATAGTGTTGATAGTACTGAGACATTCTTTAACCTATTTAACTTGTTATATATGAGAAATATATTTGAAATATTAAATTGTAACTTTTATCTTTCTTTTTTTGTTTGTTTGAGACAATCACTCTCTGTCTCCCAAGCTGGAGTGCAATGGCATAATTTCAGCTCACTGTAACCTCTGCCATGCGGCCTCAAGCAATTCTTCTGCCTCAGCCTCCCAAGTAGCTGGGAGTACAGGTGCATGTCACCCCCACTGGCTAATTTTTGTATTTTTTAAGAGACGAGGATTTACTGTGTTGCCCAGGCTTGTCTGGAACTCCTGGACGAAAATGATTCTCCCTCTTTGGCTTCCCAAAGTGCTGGGATTACAGGCATGAGCCACCACACCCAGCCATAACTGTTCTTCTGTTTTGAAACCAAATACGGTATATCATTTGCTAATAGCATAGATCAACCTTAGTCAGGTTAATGAAGACAGTGGAAGAGCTTGAGGCATTTTTGCCTGCATTGAGGTAGGCTATATGCCCAAATTTCTTGAATAATTTAGTCCAAATACCATTCAAGTATATGTAAATAACTGAACACAAAATCTGAAGCCTTCTTAAAGTCAACTTTTCTAGTTAAAAAAACAAAAAGCTAGCAGTGAGGAGACCTAGTCCTTCTCTTAATTCCATGTATAACTTGGCAGACCACTGTTTCTGGCATTCCGTTTACTCAGCAGGAAAATGGAGATAATAATAACTAACTGTCTCACTCCTGAGGCTGCTCCGAGGAGAGACTGAAGTGCACTGAGAAGTCACAGCCACCAGTGGGTGGTAGTGGTGATTTATGTCTTCATCGAATGGGTTAAAATAAATCTCTGCTGAATGTGAGTGAAATATAGAATCTTGTTTCCTTCAGAGGAAAATCCAGGCAGCTGTCGAAATGTATAACGCACATGGTTATTTTTAGTTGAGAACTAGTCTACTTGTAAATGAACTTAAAATATAGCCAGATCCAAATTGTGGTGACATCTTCAAAGTATTGTGTTAAAAGGAGGAATGAATCATATGTTCCCTTTTCGTCTAATTGTAACACTTTTATTCAGTCTCTTCAACTAAGAGTCTTTGCTGGGATGGAAGATTTGGGCCATGTGGTGCCTCAGAGAAGTTCTGGTTACAGAGAAAATGGTGAGTGTCTCAGAGAAGAAGCAAGACCAAATCTGGCCCTGTCCTTGGTCATCTCAAAGCCATGCCGAAGCATTCAGTTATTCTTCGTGTGCACTGGAGGGCATCCAGCTATCCCCATACCAGCAGCCAGTCGCCAGATGTGAATGTGGAAGCAGAAGACCACTTCCTGTTGGTTCTTCTCCTCTTCTTCCTTCTTTTTCTCTTTAGAATGGCCACCATTGAAGACGTAGCTTCCCATTTTCCAGACATTTTCTCTGAAATTTTCTGCTGGCCTGCCAAGCCATATGGATTCATTCTGCCACTGAGGAGTCCTTCAGTGAGGTCCCTTTTCCTAAAGGATGGAGTGGGTAGTAGGAGGGGAACAGAGAAGAAACTCTCTCTGGCTCTCCAGTGTTCTTAGTGTCTGCAGGCTTCTAGGCAGCCCTGGGCCTTGATTTGATTACCTCCCCTGGGGGATGCTGGTCAGACCCAGAGGTTGTCAGGAGGTCGTCTACCAGGAAGATCCATGATCTGGGCATTGGCAGTGCCTGCTACCACAGCCAGGAAGATGCCTCTGACCTGGGTGCATCTCCATCATTCCCTAGCAGCAGCCTGCATTAACTGGCAAGAACCTTGGATGATACAAGGGCCAAGAAGGGACATTTGAGTTGTTTGGCTTAGATAGGAAAAGAATCTGGGGAAAATCAATAGTAAGTGAGGATGAGCAGCTACTCTTGGTTTTCAGTGAGGATAGAGTGAGAGATTGAGCTTAGATTGCAACAGAAGGAATTAGTTTAGATACCAGCCTGAAGATTTGTCATAGTGTCTGCTTTCTAGATATCTGGGAAAGATTTGGTAATAGTGTTTGTGAATAGAAAGGAGGATGTGATGTTTTTATTGCCCATTTTGCGGGACCGTTTGACTTCTTGCTGCTGTCTCTTGAGGATATATTCCAATTCCATCCTGGCGAGATCCAAGTGCTTATGTACTGTCTCCTTAGCTGCCTTAGTAGTGAACGATCATCAGTTCAATGGACCAAAATCACTTTCAGCCATGTGGTTTCTTCATCATCATGGATTTCTTTTGGTTGGCAAACATTCTGGTTCTGAGATGCAAAAAGTCACACTAGGAAATGAACTGTAAGTGGTGAAATTAGTTTTGGTATTTAATTTAAACTACATTTATGGTTTTCTCTTCTCTTCTATGTTACAATGAATGTGAAGTATTTGAGATCCAGTGCTTAGAAACCTTTCCCTCCTTTGTGCACAGAATGTAACTAGCAAGCCCATTAGCGCCCAGAGAATCCTATCATGTTAGTTTCCCATCCTGGAAAATCTTTGTACAGTGGGAAGTTCCCTGATATGTTTTTCTTTCTTAGGTGAAGGATTGGTTATATCAGTTTATTGAATTTTGCATTTCTTAAACTCTTAAAATATACTAATGTATTCTAGTCTTACTCTAAATACCGTTGATATTAAGGGAATTCTGCATTTCTTTCATATTCCCTATCTCATAGGGCCACAATTATTTTAATACAGAGATGATTTTCAAAATATTTAACAACTGGTATAGGACAGATGCCAACCACTCATAAGGGATGCCTGCTGTAAACAAGCAGTATGTATGGTTGTACCAATGCCTATTGGCTGAACGTTATGCTACTTTCAGATATTAAAATGATGTCCCTTTCAATCGTGGGGATTCTTCCTGTTTTGTCTCATTTCTATCACAAGGATGTTTTGGGGACAGCCTTAGCTTGCTTTCACATATATATATATATACATATATGTGTGTGTGTGTGTGTGTGTGTGTGTGTGTGTGTGTGTGTGTAGTGCAGACAGGATAGGACATGATTATTTGAACTATATGGGCATTAAAATCTCCATGAGCCAAAGCTTCACATTTTATCACTTTAGGGTAACTGTAATAATTGTACTCATTTGCCTACCTAATTGGGAAAAATTAAAAGGCAGCCTGTCAGTAGGGTAAGCTTTCTTGCAGACTTTTCCCTTGTCCCTTTCTGACTGCTTCCTTGAACTTGCCTCTTCTTCATCTTCATTGTTCCCTGAGAATATCCCCGCTTTCTTGCTCTATCTTGCCCCTCCTATCTTTTCCTGCCACCTGTGTGTGGGGAAGTTGATGACCATTTCACCTCTTCCCCTAGCCTCAGCACAGTAAGGAGTGTATCAAAACTGGGTGACAGTATCACTCAGAAGAATGCCTCTCCTAATACTCTCATGTCTTGTGCTGCCTGACTGCTCGAGAGGAGGAGCCTTCATTAACTCTGTGTAGTGTAGGTACAGGACCATGTGTGCACTTTTGGGTACTTCTCAAGCCAGACCCTCCCAGATCACTGCACCTTAAGAATGTGAGCTACTTTTTAAAAAATGTGGTTTGGTGTGTTGTTGAGGTAAACTTGTTGGGGGACTGTGAGTGAAGATGGGAAAGGACTGGGTGGTTTTGCCATGAGGTGATGGCTGGGGTTGGCGCTAATGGTTTGCATGATCCTGGCTCTGTGGGTGTGGTGCTCAGTAGCCTTGGTATAGTTGCAGGTCACCTTTGTGCATGGTGGTTACCAGTCACTCTAGGGATTGTAGGTCCCAACAGTGTTTCAGCAGCCTGCACAGCTGGTACGAGGACAGCTGGAGGAGGGTCTCATATCCCTGCAAGTGATGCAGGACAAAACTTCCCAACAGGAGGTGTCCCTTGCATGGCTCTCGAATGCACGGGTGACATATCAGTTTGAAGTTTCTTGACCTGTCCATCAAGGATTTTGATTTTTTTCTCAGTTGTGCTTGTTAATGTGTCGAAGGCCAAGTGCACTGCATCAAACTTGCTGTCTGTAAGATGCTAAAGTCCTTTGATCAATCCAGTGTTTCAGTCAGGTCGCTACTGACATCAGACTTGGCTTTGTCCCTTCTCTTTCTTTTCATTCAAGAGACTTTAAGGGTAAACTCTTCAGTTGAAACTGTCTTGGAAGTGCAGGCCTCCTCCTGTGTGGCTAACGAAAGAGACGGCACCAGGATCTTTCATGGCAAGTGCTCAAGGGATGTGGGTGGTTTTGTGTAGTCCGGTCCTTTTGATCGTGGTGATTTCCTGTCATCCTCATGGTCTGACATTGCTTTTCACTGGAAACTGGTTGTAGCCTTCAATTCATTAGCTGATTGTTGGATCTCTTTGTGAGGTTTGATTTTTTTTTTTTTAATCCATGAGTCCCTATGGACCGTTGCGTGTTGCAAATGATAGTGATTCTCTTCTTCTTTTTCTTTGTCTTTAAGAGTTGCCTGGACGATTTCATGGGTCACTCCACATGATTGCAGAATTTCCCATTGCTCGTCTGTAAATGTTGATTGGCTAACCTGTCTGAGCTTTTGGCAGATGCATCCTTGAGCTTAGTTTCAGGAATTCCTCTGGTTTTCCTTGGTAGTAATTTCTCATGGTGGAGCTTGTTTCAGAGGCATGGTACAGTGCTGTGGAGGCAAAGCAAGGCTGTTGTAGTGATTTTCATATATCCAGATGACAAACTGCCTTTGCATGGGGAAACCACACGGGATTGATGGCATCTCTGAATTTGGGGATTTCATCAGTTACCCCTGGAATTAAAATGAGTGCAGAGTCAAAATCTTTTTTATTTTTTATTTTTTGAGACAGAGTCTTGCTCTATCACCCAGGCAGGAGTGTAGTGGTGCAATATCGGTTAACTGCAACATCTGCCTCTGGGTTCAAGTGATTCTCCTGCCTCAGCCTCCCAAGTAGCTGGTTCTACAGGTGCCCACCACCATGCCCAGCTAATTTTTGTGTTTTTAGTAGAGATGGGATTTCACTGTATTGGCCAGGCTGGTCACGAACTCCTAACCTTGTGATCCACCTGCCTCAGCCTCCCAAAGTGCTGGGATTACAGGTATGAGCCACCACACCCAGCCCGAAATCTTTAAGAAAGTTACTTATTGCCACAAGTGTTGTCATCTGTGACTTATGAGCCACTAGATGAACCTGAACCATTAGTGGCTGTCCAGATCCTCCAACTTTTTGAGACAGTATTCTAATCAGGGTTTTATGACACCAACATAGGCAGAAACACCAAGCTGCAGGTAATTGATTTGTGTGTCACTGATTCCTGGAGCAGCTTTGAATGCATTAAATCGCTTTTAGCAGACCTTTCACAGGAGTTATCTCTCAAAATCTCTTTAAAGAGCAATAAGAATGTGTAGTGTTGTATGACACAATCCAAGCCTGTGAGTTGCATCATCAGGGATTGTCAGAATTTTATGTCTGTTCCATATCCTGCTAGTAACCAGCTTACAGACTTTCCATCAGGTTGGCTTAGATGTTCATCAACAGGAAAATGTTGCCATAATGATGGTATGAGGCTGCACACAGTCGTTGCGCACATGGTTAGTATGGTATGGCAGTGCTGCACACGATCACTGTACAGAATTAGCAAGGCTGGAATATGGCCCTCTGCTATAGGGGGCATGGCACATGCGACTCATGCTGGAATGAGTAGGAGGCTTTCCTCAATGGATATGGAGACTGATGCGTGCTCCATATCTTGAGGGGGCCTGTCTTGGTTTCCTTTGGTAGGGTCTATCAGCTACTTCTGAAGGCCATACCAACCTTTTTAGGCCATTAAATTTTTCTCAAATAATAGCCAGCCTCATTTCTGCTTCATCTCTGTGGTAGGAACCATTCTGTATTCTTATCTTACTCCCTCCTCTTTGCCAACTCCCCACAACCACCCAACCCGAGTCCTAGCTGCTTTCTTGCTTAGGTCTGTGGCTGGTGATAGTGGCACCAGAGTCAAGGTGGGCAGTGTTTGGGGTAGGAAATGAGTAGAGGTGAAGCAGCAGCAGTGTGTGTGTGTGTGTATGTGTGTGTGTGTGTATGCGCACGCGCATTTGCATGTGTATTTGTTGACAAATGAGAGAATAGCCGTAAGATTTCATTGTTACTTCTAGTCTTTGTACACCTAGCTGGAGGAACATTAAAAAAATATGGCCATTCTCCCATCTAGGTGGTGCCCATCTCAGACTTCTCTGATAAGAGTAGTTTGAGGACAAATACAGATTAGTCTATGGAAAAAGATGTTTAAACTCAGCATGAAGGAGAAACAAATTTTGGAGTGGAAAGCAAGACAAGCAGTTATGTGATTTCCATGCCTACATTTGCTTGGGCCAGGGAAGTGGTCCACCTCTTTCCTGACAGTGGGAGATTTCAGAAACAGTTTGAGTTTTGGCAGGCCAATGTCCTGATAGGCTGGTGTAGAGAGGGAGGAAGGGAGGGAGGCCAGAGATTAGAGAAAGTGATGATTAGGATCTTAGCTCTAAATGAAAAGAACTGGACTTACTAAATCGGTGGATTACTTGCTAGCCATAACTTTTAGGGAAGGGGAAGTCTGGAGAGAAGGTGAAGACCAGCAGAAATATACTGTGAAATTGTCAAATATGTTTGATTGCAGAAAACACAGCCTGGCTATTATTGTCTAGATGTGACTTCCAACTTCTGAAGACAGGATTGCCAAGAGATGTGGTCTTTACCACATACAGCTCCTGTCCCTATCTCTTTATGTGTAGAGACTCGCATTTGGGGTAGTGAGTAGTAAACCATATATTTCCAAAAGATGACGTGAAAAGTCGCTGTTTCTCTTTGTCTGGGAAGTGATTGACTTTTAAATTAGTCCTAAATGTTTGATAAAAATCTGGTATATGCTAAGTCTCAGGGTTGGTTGATCTCTCAGGCTATGATAGCTGTGACCTTCAAGAAATCTCTGACTTGGGGAATCTGTAGTTTTTGGTTGTCCAAAAAAGATAGTTCCTAGTCCTACTTTATTTTCTATCCACTCAACTCTCCAGACTTCCCTCATAGTAAAGGAATTCCTGATTCTCCCTGAATCTTCTCTGTTGATTTCCATGTCCATGTTCTGAGTTTTGAGTTTTCCCAAAGCATAGGAGCAGGCTTGGCCTTAGAGCTCCTGGCTTTCTTTTTGATGAGAATCAGAAATGCTATCAATATATTCTCTCTGTCACTTGATCAGCTTCTCTAAATTTATTTTGTAAGGGGGTCAGCAGCTCCTTCATGGACCTCTAGATGGTTGTCTTTGCCAGTTTGTTACTGGGTTTTCCTTGACCTTCTCAGGTTCCCAAGCCACATCCTAGCAGGGCATCTGAGAACCTTGCATTGACCCTCTCAGTCCTTTTGGCTTTCTCCTGGTCATAGGTGTTGGACCTCCCATTAGGTAGAAGTCCTTTGAGCAGAATCAAAATGGCCAAATATGACATCATCCAAGTTCCTCCCTCCTTTACTGTCTCAGCTTTTTCAAGAACTCCTTTCTCCTGTCTTTTCTGCCTTTTCCTCAGTCTGTCTAGTTCTCTTTGGAGGAAAGAAGTTCTTGGTCAGAGGTCCTAAAACCACCACCAGCTGGGGGTGGTGAGAATGATGAGGAGGTTGGACAGTCCTGGGGCTTTTTTGAAAGGGGACTTTATGGTTATTTCCCTTATTTAGGATGAGGGACTAAGAATTCTCAAGGCTTCAGTTTCATCCATATTTCAGTGTAAGCAGAAAAGCACATTTCAAAGCCAAATAGAAGTGACTTTCTATTAAGTCTATCCTTTATGATTCTTGACTCCCTTGGTCTCTTAATATTAATTGTAGAGAATGAGCAGTTGAGTTAATTAACGTCTTTTCATCAGAAAGGAGGGTAATTTTCATAACCAAAAGAGATGTAAAGGAACTATATTACTGCCTGAAGTGTGAAAAGAGGAAAGGGGTGTTATGTGAACCTTTTCAATAGGGAAATTCAGAAAGTGGAATGATTCATCCATAGGCATAATTCTTTTAGGAGATTCTGTGCTCAAAGGGAAGGGAATAGTTTCTGATCCTTCCAAAGAGAAAAGGAATAGCATTTTTCTTAAACCTAACCCAGTTTCAGCATTGGAGAATACAGAACCTTTTCTCTAGCTGATGGCATTCATATTTCTTGAGAGAGATAACCTACCCATGGTACTTTTCTGAGCCCAGCAGAAATCAGCAGAGCTTGGGCTTCTCTTAGCAGGTTTACAATTGACTTCGACTTGCAGGCTTTTCATATGTGCAATAATGTTGGAAACAGAAGCACCAAACTGATTGTGCAATTACTCCTTTTGTAGAAGAGGCCAAAATCCTCCTCCTCCTTCATTTCTCCTATATTCACTCCTCCAGGATCATAAAGCCTCCCTCTTGTTTATCTGTGTCTGTCTGTCTGATTGGTTAGATTTGGCTGCTCTTCCAAGCTAATGGTGTCAGGTGGAGAGCAGAGCAACCTTCCTCAGAAGGGGACAACTCGAGGTGCTGGTACATTTCCCTTGTTTTCTATGTTCTTCTTTCTAGTGGGTCTCATGTAGAGATAGAGATATTTTTGTTTTAGAGATTCCAAAGTATATATTTTTAGTGTAAGAAATGTACCCTCTCCACACTCCATGATGTAAATAGAACCAGGAATAAATGTGTCATTGTGATAATCCCATAGCAATTTGTGGTAGGAACAAGACCCTTTTCCCTCACCACCGAGTCTCATGGTCTGTGTCTGTAACCCAGGGCAGGTAACCGTGACACTGCATCTCACAGACTTCTGCCTGCCCAGATTTTTGTGTGCTCATCTCAACAGATGAAAAATAAAGTCTGTATAAACTGTTTGCACCTGTGGTGTTCTTTGAGTCCAAATGAAGGGGCTGAGCTAATGCTGACCAATTTCAGAGCTTGTGAATGACAGTGTGAAGATGGGGGAGGAAAAGCGTGGTGGCTGCTGAGAGTGCCCTAGAAGGGCTGTGTTCCTCTCCCTGCTGCAGAGCATGAGGAGGCTGTCAGGGCCTCTCTCTTGGGATGGCTAAGCTTGTGTTGGAATAGGACAGCCTGGAAAGAAAGCTTATTCCGAAGATACAACGAGGCTGATGAGAGAACTTGTTAATGTTTAGGGACTCTGCTGCCTAGAAATCCAGATTTTAAAGCTCTGCGGTCACTCCAGAATTGTTTTTTTGGGTCGGGGAGGGGTGTTGTGTTTCTCTTTCTCTCATATCCCATTGTTGGAGACTTAGAGAGGAGAGGGAGAGGGAAGCAATGGAGTGAGAGTAGAGCAGCCAGTGAGGGGGCGAAAGGAAAGGGTGGGGGAGCCAGGCAGCAGCTTTACTGAGTGCCAAGAAAGGCATCCCCTGAAAACGTCCTGAACACGTGGCACCGTGTGGACATATACTACACAGCCAGTGCCAGCATGGCCTGTGGCCTACAGACAGCCCATTAGTTCTGAGGCCTTTTGCTATCTTTTGGCTATTCTTTCCCTCAACAGTGTACACATCATGCCCTTTGTCTCACAGAGAGACACGCTTAGATTGCATTGAGTAGAGTATGGGAAGGCTGCTCCTGCAGGAAACAGAGCCAGTTCTGATGCCTTGGGTGTGGAGGGGCTGGGGTACAGGTGCAGAGAGATGGCATGTATCATTCGCACACCCAGGCTGGTTAAGGATTCCATTAATTGATACAGGAAGAGTGCTTAGAACAGCACCTGGCTCATGGTAAGCACATAGTAAGCAATAAAAAATTTGGAGGTAGGTGATTCCTGGGTTGGTTAATTCAGCAATAATCCTACCAGGGATCTGGTCAGCTTCTCTGCAGTTCTCTTGGTTTTTCCCTCATAGTCACAAGATGGCTCCTGAAGCTTCAAGTATCACATCTGCAGCATAATTTGCAAATGCAGATAGGTTGAGGGGGTTTTCCAGCTTCCCCCTTTCCATCTCCTCCCATGTCATCAGTCAGAACTGAATCACATACCCATCTCTAAGATGGGAAAAGGAGGATGGAATTACCATGTTTGGTTTGGACCGATTAGACTCAATCCTGTGGGGTTGGGGCCATCTTCCTTAACCATTTTGCTGCTCTAATACTTGTACAAAATCAGGATTCTGTTAGCAAAGGATAGGCAGGAGCTGCAAGTGATTACATGTCCTAAAGTGACTGTCAGTGCACCCAGGAGAACCTGCACCACGGGACCTCTGCAGAGCTGGAGCTGGAGTGTAGAGAGCCACGAAACTCAGCAGCAGGCATGACAGGAGGCCAAGAAATTCCTCTGAAGGTCAGTGGGGAGATTTCTAACTCACCAGTAGAAATCTGAGTCCCACTCGACACCAATTACAGAGACTCTCTGGAGGGGAGCCAGGCACCAATATCTGTGAAACCCTCTCCAGATGATTCCTCTGCAGGCTGAGCTGAACATCAGCTGCCATAATGCTCCTCTGCCTTGACCAGGCTTTTCTGTGTCTGCTTCACTTCTAACTCTCCACTCTACAATACTCAGCTCTGCCACAGTGTCAGCTTCTCCTGCCTAGACGATCATAGCCTTAACCACCTCCAGATTCTTTCAGCTTCAACCTTCACTCTTCACAGCTTCATTGCCTCTGTATTTCCAAAGTCAGATTCCCAAGACTGAGAATGCAATTGCTTGTCATTTCTCAGCAGGCCACACTGTAAGTCCCTGGCCAGCCTACGGGTTAGGGGCCTTTGGCTCTGAAGCCACCTTTGGGCCAACTGGGGAAGAGTGAGAGTCAGGTGATAAAGAATGTGGCAGGTGAAGGGTGTTCCTTGTCAGAGTTGCGACTTAAGTTTCCCCTAGAAGGAAAGAAGAGCCAGAGAGACATAGTAACAATGTGTCTAAATTATCTTAGTGATGTCCAAAGGCTGTTCCCTGTTACAGACCTGGCTACAGACTTAGCCCTTTTACCTTTTGCTTGTGTTTAATTACAAGGACACACAGGCACATACTTACAAGAACAACCTGCAAGTCACTGCATTGCTCCCTGGACAGAGCACACTTCACACAGTTGCACTTGTTTGTGACAAGTGGTCACGGATAGAGGGAAGCACAGAGCTTCTCTGTTGGGAGGCTAAGTGCATGATTGAGGCCTTTAGCAAGGACAGTGTATAATATATAACAAGCCCATCAGGAACAAGCCTGCCTGAGTTCAAGTCTCAGCTCGGCCTCCATAGCTGTATGGCCTTGGCCACTTGCTTCATCTGTGCCTCAGTTTTTTCATCTGCAAAATAGGAGTGATAATACTACCTATTTTATAGGTTCAATAAGAAAGAGTCAGTGAATTCCCACGCATGCCAAGGCAGTCCCCTCTCCATGTGCCCTCTGAGCCTCTGGTAGCAGCAGGTCCTCCCTCCTCTTGCCCTTCTGATGCTTGGATTTGCAGCTGTGTGGTGGAGTTGACCCCTGGAGTCCAGGGGAAAGAAGTTGTGGTCACTGTGACCTTTGTCCATGTGGTTTATAGATATTAACTCATGGGAAGAGAGACTTTGCTTGGGCCTCCTAGTCTAAGCCACGTTCTCCAGTGTGACTTCCACCTACATCTTTCATTTGGAGCTAGGGAATGTTTGCCTAAGTTGTAAGATTGTCAGTACTTTATTTGGCCATTGATTTTTGGGACTGGAGGGTGGGAGTGGAAATAGTGCTATACGCTAAAGGGTAGTGACCATTTGTCTATTATTATTGTTACCATAGTCCCCAAAGCCCCTCCAGTCTCTTAGAAATTACACAATGCATTATCATCACCAGATTTACCTATAGCCACAGTAGGCAAGGAGGAAGCACTTTGGCCTTCACTACCCAGGCAAAACAGTAGTAAACCAGTTTTCTAGTAACTTTGAGCTGTGTGATTCTAGCACTAGTTTTGAGTCATAAGGGCCTCCATGTCCACTTCAACAGGTTCATCATCACAGTCATCATCGTCAAAGGCCTGCTTTGGGCATTTCATAACCTACCATGCAGGGTCAAAGCACTTCACTGGGAGAATCACTGGCAGTAGTGGACAGCACCTGTGTTTTGGTTTGGGGTGTGTGTGTGTGTGTGTGTGATGAGCATGTCACAAATACATTCTCTCATCTAATCCTCACCATCTATGCAATGGGCACTATTCCTTCTACAGATGAGAAAACTGAAGCTCAGAAAGGTAAGTCAGATACTGAAGTTCACATAGCTGGTAAGTGGCAGAGCCCAGGGCAAAGCCATGTTTGTTTGTCTGGAATCTGTGATCTTGGCTTCCCCTCTCTGCTAACTCCATAAGGGCTCTGACTACAGGATCATGACTGTGAGGGCTGCATCTAAAACACATACCTGGTATGTACAGAAAAGTTAAAGGGCATACTGAAAAATAAAACAGTAGGGAAATGTGAAATTGGAGAACTTACCAGTTACATCACTTGTGAATAGCAACAGAAGTTGAGAAAGTGAGTAAGAATTCAAATTCTTCTGGAACAATTCAACAAATTCACATTCTAGAATTTGTTCCAGAAAGTATTCATAGAATATGGTAGATATGCAACATTTTTTTTTTTTTTAATGAATGAGCAAAGGAAGTTGTCCCTGCTCCTGAGCAGTCCTGGAAAAGTTTTCCCAGGAAAAACATAGGACTCATTAAGACGTGAAGAACTCAAGCACTGATCAAATATTTTGGTAACCTAAATAAATAAATAAATGTTGATGGCTTAATTGTCACATCATAATTTATTGCATCCGTTTCCCTACTTTGTGCTCAAGGGTACCGTGGTTTCACTGTACCTGACCATGGTCAGACCCCACAGAGATCACTGAGGTCTGTTCAGGGGCTGCTGGAAAAACAGAGAAACCCAAAGCTTGCCCTGAGGAAGAGCTGCTGAAGGAAATGGGGAAGAGACACAGGGAGTGCTGGCAGCTGGGTTTATGTTTGAGGACATGAGTTTTGAAGGGCATGAAGGTGAAATGGGTTCTCTGGGATTTACAGTTGGACTCACATCAAAAACGAGACCATATATGCAAAGCACAGTGGTGAGGCCTGTGGGTTCTGTAGCATCAGGGAGGGGACTCTTGCAGAGCCAGGGAGGCTGTCAAAGAGCAGACAGAGTTGGAGGAAAAGAAGTTATAGATTGGGTCTCACAGGCAGCATCACCATTAACTGACTGGTTTGCTTGCAGTTAAGCGTTTTGTATAAGGGAGCAATTGTGCTTAAAATAGGAGACCAAGAAAAGAAGACCTTAAATACCAGGTTATGGGGTGGGGACTATCCCGTAAGCTCCAGGCACCATCGGAAGGGAGATATGTACTCACTGGTATTTTGGAAAAATTCATCTTGTAGCAGTAAGGGAGAAGAATTGCAAGAGGGAAAAACGATGTAGGTAGGCCAGGGCAGAGCAGTGGTGATGGAGAGGAAGAGGAGGATACAGAGACGAAGAAACAACAGGCCTGCAGCCCGTGTGTGACTGGAAGTGGGAAGCGCACGTGGAGTAAAACAGCACCCCGATGTCCTGCGTCTGAGAGAAAAGCTGTCATGTGAAAGAAAGATTAAGCTCATTTGACAGAGCTCCAGAGGATGTAACCAGGACCAACTTATCTTCTGGGAGGCAAATTTGGGTGCAATGTGAGGAGCTCACAGCTAATGCTGTCCAAGAAAGGAACTGGCTGCCCTGGTACCAGCAAGTGTCCAGGGTTGAGGATGCCAGGAAGCTGCAGGTGTGGGACTTGAGGGTCCATGACTTCAAGACAGGGACAGAGAGGGTGCAGCAGACAGACACTGCCTGGGAGCAGGATGAGAGATGGGAGGGTGGTGACGAAGGAGTGGGTGGGGAACAGATGTCTGCATTAGGAGAAGGGAGCAGACGGGTGCGGGGA